AACTGTCTTCTATGTCTACAGTGATAACTGATAAACAGTCTGACAAAAAAAGGGAACAATTTATAAATATTTAAAATGTCGCTAAAATGTGTAATAATTGTTCAATATGTATATGCTTCCATACTTTGTACTTATTTCCTTAAATCTCTGCTAAGTCTCAAAACAGATGGTCACTTTTATGACACCCTGTACAGCGACTGTCTAATTTACAAGATAAATAGGAAATAGCCTTTCAATTATGTCAAACACCGTGAAAGCCATAATAAAGATGCTAATGGAATGTCAGCTCAAATGCGTAATCTAGCGACTTGATAGCTCGTCAAGAAGAAATATTCGTCACTCGATATCCGTTCCTCAATACTCCATGAAGGAATGTACAGTATCCATTCTTATTTATTAACCTCAAATTCCAAAGCTCAACGGTGGATTTTAACAGTTATGCAACGTCCATTTCGCCCCACAAATCAAGGATTAAGCCGCTAATGCTGCGCCAAGGCTGAGGAAGAAGCAAAAGCTTGTACGAAATCTGCGAAGGCCAACGGATAATTACTCTGTGCTGAATGTTAACGACGGCTGCGAATAGTGCTCGCGCGGTTATTACTTACCTGATTTTCGCGGGAACTTCCTTTTTTCCAGTCGTCGCGATCGTGATTTTCCATCGTGAATCCTCGCTTCTACGGTCGTGCCCTTGACGTGTCTCGATACGGCGTACGTAAGCTCACATCGACGTACGCTATGTGCAACACAACTGCACATGGGTCACGAGGACGTGACGTCTTGCTGGTGAATAAATGCATGGGCCGCATTTGTGTACGTGCGTCAACAAAAATCGTTCATAAAGCGACGTAAAAGCTGTTCCAAAATCCAGCTGCCTCGATGAATCACCTGAAATCGATTCGATAAAACGTTATTAGAAACGCTAAGCGAATCGTTCTGTAGGGAATAAGTTTCAAGTATGGGACAGTCACAAAACATTGTACATAGATATAAAACGCAGGTAATGCATTTAGTAGAAAGACGTGGAGATAAAATTTTGTTCTTAACAGGGATAGGTACTTACAAGAGAGATGATAAAGGCTTGAAAAAATAGCTAACATAATCTGAAATGTTGTACGAGAATTTCAGCGTCCAATCGCAAAATTGTTTGAGAATTTTATAGGCGAAGATGAAAGTTTCGGCTTGCAATCTTGGAAATTACTTCGGCTTCAGGAACACGCTTTTATCGCCCTCTATTGGTGGAACACTTTAGTACACTCTCGTGAGAATAGCGAAAATTATTAATTCTTATTAGCACAAGCCACCTGGCGACAAATTCGACAACTAAATATAATTCGATAATTAAATAATATAATTCGAATTTTTATTTCTTATAAGGTAAGGCTTTAGTAAGACGAAAAACATAACTCTTTATTTTAAAATACGGATACACTTTGTTTTCAATCGCATTTCTTCGATATGTCAAAGTATGCGACATAACCTAGAAATCGAGAACACCGTATAAAATAACGAGAAGGTAACGAGCATCCGTCGTTCTACGAATTTCCATCGAATAAGATAATTAATCTGTTGCCATGAAGAACAAAGTTATAAAACTAGGAAAAAACAATACAAGGTAAATGACAAACAAGTTCGATATCATTCCATGGTATTGCAAACTTACACTGCATCGATGTGACTATATCGTGCGTGCGGTTTGTGCGAATTTTGCGGTTGGTACGTATGTAGAAGGAGCACATTAAATGGAAGAACGTATCAGAGAAAACGTACACGTGCGAATGCTCCACGTGTATGCAAGTATAGACACGGAGTCAGCCTCGGGATTTCGGGTCGATAGCCGTGACGTCAGTAGATCATACGAGAGAGGGTGAAAGAGAGGAAACGAAGCACACTGATAGAGAGATAAGAGAGAGGAGAAAAATAGAAAAGTTGTTTATAGAAAACGCGAGAGAGAAAGAGAAAGGTACAGGTTAGGTAAAGAGCAGAGAGAAAGAGGGAAGAGATGGAACGCTGACAGAGAGAGAAAGGAAGCGAGACGATAGACCGCAGCTAAAAGGAGAGAAGAGCGGAGGAAGAGAGAGACGAGGAGACGGATGAAGTTCAAGGTTACCTCGCTTGAATGCACGTCCCACGCGGAAAATAGGAAAAGAGGGCGAATGTATTTTCCAGCTTCGAGGTGAAACGTATACGGTGGTCGGATGGTGGGCGGCCGAATGATTTCCAGTAAGGAAATTCGCGTACAAACTTTGCCTTTCGCAAAGCGATTCGCGATCACCTGATCAATCGTATGGTTACTTTAATGGAAATCCACTTGAAACTTCCATTTACGCTGTGGATCATGCTTCGATTGAGAAGTGTCAGTTTCTTCAAGAAATTTTCCTTTTAAACTTGCTTAATGAAAATCGACGAAGCCACCATACAGCTGATGGTGAAACTGTGAATGAATTAAAAGAGGAATTGAAATGTCACTATGATCGTAAATTGTAATGTTATATTATCATAGAATTAATATAAGGAGATATTACCCTACTCTCCATGTGTAGTAAACAGCAAAAATTTTATAGTTTTCATTAATCACCCAGAACGACCATAACCTCTAATTGTTGTTGTCTGCCGATGTGCCGATCAGTAATAATACACCTGTGGCAAGACGCAGTTCGGTAAGTAAAATTCAAAGAAGTAATAAACAAAAGTATTTTCCCATTTGTTTCGTTTCTTTCAGAGTCGCGTGTTTGGTGGGCGTTTCGTAATGAAACGTCCTGGTGACATTATTACGAGGCGATAATCCTCGTGACTAAATGCAATGACGACGCGGGAAACTTGTGGCGTATTGAATCCTCCTACACAGACATAGACTGATGTGCGCGCCACTCGTGTGTGAGTAACACGTACAAATTTTGTATTATAAAATATACTTGTCAAATAATTTAAATTAATTATAAAAATTAAACTACATAACAAAAAGTTCGAATTTTAATAAGAAATTTTATTTGTTTACAGGTTGCAAATTAAATATTCAAATTGTATATGTCCAATTAATGGAATTCGTATTGAATGTTTCTTCTGAACCGTGTTAATCAGCAATAACAACGTATCACGATAGATGATTTTGTTAGTTAGCGAGCTAAAAGACTGAAATTGTATCCATAATGCACAGGGACTCGGTGTTCAAGGTAATCGGCATGAAACGGTCTACAGCTACTACGTATTATTGTTCTTTCGCAGATATGATGCAATTGCATGAATCGCAATCAACCGAGAGACCACGCTTAAAAGTCTCTGTGCCAGAATTTAAATCGGCTTGTAATTTCGCTGTTAGTGTCGTAATCGTGAAGATAACTGAAATACGCGCGATAAATTAATACACACGTCCAAGAACGTCGGATTATGTACGAAAAACAACGCGAACGGAAAACAAGCAGATTTTTCAAACAGAAGAAAGAAGAGGAAAAGAGAAAAAAGGGAAAAGATATCTTTTATAAAATATTTGAAAACAAGGCGTCGAAGTTAAACGGGTCGGGTCAGGACGTACGAATATTTCATCCAATCATTGGTTACGGAATTACTCCAGTTTCCCACACACAAAGTTTGCGCATGATTAGTACTGTCGACGATGAAATGATACACGAAAGCTTTCAAATATTACTGGAAAACAAGAAAGCCGCAGATCTGCTTAAAATTGTAATCCTAAGAGAGGAATTGGGCTAGATCCTTGTTCCAATGGCCTAGCAAACTCCAACTGGATCTCGAGTTTGTTGTCTCGACTCTCTACTGTACTCAGACCGTAATCGTATTTGGGTTAGCATGCCCGGACGTGGCCCGGACATGGCGACCTTGAACTTGCCGCCCCCGGATGGCCCAACATCAACTCCCAAACCCCTTTCCATCGCGAGAAAAGGATAGCTACCGGTAATACGTTCCAGGAAGAGAAGAAAATAACCGGAAATCTAAGGACACGAAGCAGAATTTACTACCTTTAGGTCGCACTACTAGGCCTTCTTCTCTCTTCTTATACCTCGTAAAACTGAATCTCGAAGAAAATATCCTGAAATGATTAAAGGATTGTCTACCTAAATATTTTGTAAACTATGAGATATAGATCAATGTTTACGATCAAAAATCATAGTTATACTGTACATGTAATCGATATATAACGTAGTTTATAATTGTGATTCTAAATATAGAGAAAATATCGAATTTCCGTACTGACCTACGTGAAAATATTGTCATTTAGTAAAAATAGGTGGTAATTGAATTCAAAATTCATCGCAATCTAACCAGCTTCTGATAGGAATATCACCTGTTGAAACTGTGTCAAGAATTTGTATACTTGTTTTAGTTTTGAAGAAGTTTATTCAATATTTCTCGTTCTATATAGAGAGAAGTAATGATGAGGTTTCGACTTCTATATAATTTGCAGTATAATAACAGTACCAAAAACTATATATAATGATAATAATATAATCAAAAAATACATTTTACTTTCTTCAGTACAAATACTTCTTCAGTACAAGTTTGCTTATTGTTATTATATCAGATAAATTTATTTTCCATTAGAAACAATAGACAAACGAAAAGTTGCCTTGTAACAAGCAATCTTTTAACCTTAAACAGTGACCTGGCCTCGGCTCAATTTCCAACAAGCACAACTTGTCAGATATCATTAATAACGCTAATAAATACTAATCGAGTTGGAACCTAGCGATTTGGTGCAAAGAACTACTTAAGCAACAGCAGCTAAAATAATCTAGGTATATAAACACCTCATTCTAGACGTTCTAGATATTTATAAGAGTACCTTACCTATCCAAACAAATTTAAAAGGCTTATTTAATCTATAAGCAAATTAAGAGTTCTATTCCAATTGATCCATTTTCATTTTTAACATCTAAAGTTCTTCACCAAAATGTTTACTTCAAGATAATTTCATGAAAACATGAAAACAAAATTTATCTCTATAAACATTATATATTTTTATAGCATATTAGATGAATCTGCCTGGAGATCAACTTTTTCCGAGCCTTGGGGCGAATAAGACAGTCATGGTCGACCTCGAGCAAGTGTTGGCTCCCGGCTACGTATAACGGGTTGCCCGTGACCGGGGAGGACCTTGGCCATGGATGTACGCCGGGTGTCGTGACGCAGGCGTCGCGACGCACGCGTTTGATTCCTTTTGCGATTTCCCCTTTTTGCAAATTGAAAGAAAAATAAATAAATTCAAATTACAAACTTATATTTTTTGACCAATGCATCATCAAAATTATTAGAATATAAACAAATACATTTTTACAATTTAATTTCTGAAAAAATTCTATAAATAATGTCTTTAATAAAGCATCTACTAAATGGATTTCTTTTCAAGATACATTTCAATTTTCCATAAGACGAAAAAATTAGAACAATATCTCACTCCTTGCATTTGAAAGAACAGCAAATACATCGTAAAATATATTCCATAACATACATATAAGTAGGTTACATCAAGAAAAAGTAGTATTCTCAAGACTAATATTACCCAGAGGTGGAAGAAAGTCCCACTTCAAGAGAAAACTCCTGAAAGCTCCATATTTTGCCGTTTTACATAATAGATAGAGAATTTATACTGCAAACACCTAGAAAAATATCACTGAATTAGATATATTTATAAAAATGAAATGTTAAAAAATATATGTCAATGACAGTTTACATTTGTATTCATATTTTTAGGTCCTTATGAGTTGCGTTCTTGTACATCAATCAGTAATCAATAATTCTTGGTGAAGATAATTACCGCTTTAAACTCATGTCACAGTATAAGCAGCGGAAAAAGTTTTGGTGCGGTAGGCGCTAATACTACAGCTTACCCTGAAACAATCGTAGATGACCTTGCATCAGTCTCAACCGGCAACTTACAACTAGCAATGGGACTGAGATCTTCATGATCTGATATCAACCTGAAAAACAATAAACTTCATTAAAATATATGCAATACAACTTTTAAAATAACTATTTATCCATTATTTACTACGTTTCCTAACAAGTTTATTCATTAAAACTTTCAATATCATAGAAACAACAAACTGTTCAATGTAAGTGAATTATTTGTTCAATTATTAAAATCCAAAACACTAATATCCCAAAAGTACCCGTTGATATAATATTGTTCATTAATAAAAGTTTAAAAATTACATTTCAGTTCGTGCCCATCGCTACTTATAACGGTTTGCCCGTGACCAGCGAAGACCTTGGCAATGACTTGCGCGACACGCTGCGACGCACGACAAGCCGACTGCTGGCGCGCATGCGTCGGCTGCGCGCGCATCTCGCTCAATGCATCCGGAGGTCGCATATCCCGTGCACACTGACGACAGCAACCTTGACCTTATACCTCAGCCCGCTGGCCAACGAGGTCCATCCACTCTTGAACGGTTGAAGGTCACCAGCACCGTGGCCAGGAAGCCGGAACGAGAAGAGGGAGACAAGCTGATGGTAGCGGTAGCGGAGAGTAAGAGAGGACCAAGCAAAATCCAGCCGCTCGATCTCCCTCGAGGACGCGTTAACGATTCTCAATTACCGCGCGTCAGCCCTTGTCTCGCTGCATCTACCCTCACCTCCGTAACTCTGTTATCTTTTTTCTTATATCTCGATCTTACTTCACACGTCTGTCTGGTTCATTCTAGTTCATATACTCACGCTACTTTTACTATCAATCACCATAACTCCATTTGATTCGGTGTTAGTAGTTGGATTTTTGACTTCAATTTTGTGATTCAAGGTTATGAATGAAAATAACAATAAAGGTAGCAGTATGAGCAGTACATATTAGATACCTTTATCTTTTAAATGTGACTAATATGTGAGAAATGCAGCTGACATAAAAATTTAAAACTTCTACTCGTTGAACACAATTGAATGTTCGAGTTATATGTTGCATTTTTATTTTACATTGTTACGTAAAGGATGATGGTTAAATGTTTTAAATGTCAAATAGCTATAGTATTAGTAAGTGAATTTTTTATATTTAAGATATAATACAATGTATATACTATGTAGTAACAAAATAAAAAAACAAAGCGTCTGTAATAAGCCATTAGCTTTAATGTAAATAAAATCATCGAAGTGTCTGTTTTATTTTCGATTAAATAAGGTAAATAAATAATATTTAACCATCGATCGACCTTATCTTATTCATTGTCCAAATAAACAACAATAGGGTAATGAACTGATAGTTATCTAATATATAATGAAATTAAATAATGTCAAATCAGTAAAGAAAGAAAATAGTAAACTGTCCAATGTGGTCATAAAGAGATTACAATGCTTAAAACTTACCTATGTATATCTAGTATCATACATAGTAGAAATGAAATGCTTGTCTCGCGAACGATTCTCGTACAGATTAGAGACGGTGGAAAGTCGAGGTCGCCCTTGACGTAAGCGCCAACCGCGTAAAGATACACAGACACACTGACAACCTTTCATAAAAGAGTCTAAGCCAGGAAACTTGACCGAGTAACGTGCGTCAATTGTTCACTGTTTATGCTCCTGAAAAAAAGACACTATAAACAAAAACAATACTATTTTAACAGTACTTGAAATATTTCAAATCAAATACCGTTATTAAACGTTTAGGTTAAAAAACGTTTCAGTAAATACGTCTCTCATTTGCTATGTACCTTGTTTCTCAATTGCGAGTATTTCTGGCGCAATTTCTCGTCATAATTTTAACTCGAGTTAGAAGCCATCAGATCAGTTCAAGGTTTTAAGATTTACTAAGTTCAACTTTTACATATGATGTTTCCAGATGATTTAATAAAAAAAGTTGATAACTTGAACATCATTTCATAATATCACTTTAACGATTTTTCTATATTTGTACATATTTTCACATATTGTGTTATACCTGATAAATTAGACTATGAATTATATATATAGATATATATATGATATTATTCTAAGAGGAATATATTCTTTTCATGATAAAAACATATTTACTAATGATTTATAAAAATTGGAACTTAAGAGTAGTTTACCTTTTAAAAATCATCGACGTTGGCGCCAGTACATTGTTAAGATTTACGAGCGTCGTTACAGTGCCTACAAGTGTTTGGCGCCGAATTCAAACTTGGCTTGTAATAAACAAATTGGAACAAGTGGATATTACCACTCCCCAAATCTATATCCCTTAAAATTAAACCGATTACAATTTTCTAAAATTATTCTCAAGGAAGCAAAAATTAACAAATGCAAGGCGAATGGTTAGTATTCAAAATTCATATTAAACGCAGCTCTCCTTTAACGTTGTAAATCAATATTCATAACCATGTTTTAGCAAAACTCTGTCACAATATGTTCTACAAGGAAATACATTCTTTTAAACAACATTATAATTATAATTGGAGCTCTACAAGTGCATAATATTTAATAGCTTTTTATGTATCTCAAAGTTTATATAAGAATAAACTAGATTTTGTTGTCTGTAAATAACTATTACTGAATACTTTATCGAGTAACACTTTGAAGTATATAACCTCAAACAATTTTACAAACTATATTCTTTTAGCAAAAGTAAGAAAATCAAATTAAGATAAGAGAACTATTCAAACCTTTTCGTATAAATCCAAAATCATATGGTTGAAATTTATTAACTTTCGATATATTGTGCGCTATGTACCAAAGATATTGCATTTCATCGTATTATGAAATCTACGTGTCACTAAGCTCAACCTTGACATCGACCGCTGCAACGGGTCGTCTCTACGTAGTTACATCATCGTTGGTATTTCCTGCCAATTAAGAGGAATACTTAGGTAACGAGGAACGATTCAAATAACACATCAATAAAAATTAAGAAAATAATAAAACGTAAAGATAGGATGAAAGATTCATAGTAGTATTCACATTATACCATATGTACATATACATGTGCATATTTCTAGAAACCACGCCAATAATGAAGCCGGAAAGCGATGATGCGATTTTTGGCAACGAGCCAAAAAAAAAGTTTCATCGACGCCACTTTCATTGCAACGACGTCGACGTAAAACGATCTTTCTAAATGCCATCGGCCTTGTCCTTGACATCGACCGCAGCGTCCCGACGCTACGCAGCCACGATTGCATCAGAATGTTCGATGCACGGAATACAGCCAGAGAAGATGCCGTTAGCAGTATCAGCGAAGAGCAGAGGGAAGGGAAAGAGTTGATCATGGCGGGAGACTTCACGTAGCTGAACAGGTGAGTAGTGTAATTTATCTATATACACTGTATCACTTTATGAATCATATTAGATTGTTCAAAACAAACATTTGTATTTAGATATATTTCTTTTTAAAGTTCTTATGATGATTAAGGAATGGAATTATTAAAATTTTATCTACATTTTTTTTTTTAACACAATTACTTATGTCAATATTATTTAATCTAAAAAGCATTATTATAAATATTGACACTGAATAATTATTTGTTATATATATAATATATAATTATTACAGAAATTTAAGTAAATTTCAACATATCCTATATATATAAAAATGGTTTAATAATAAAAATAATTGCCTGAGTTATATACATGATACGTATATACAAAATATGTAATTTTATACTGTTATAAGTATATTGCAAAATAATCTGCTTTGTATTTAGATAGTACAACTATTTTTCCATATTTTTACTATATGTAATTTATCCAAAATAAATTACTTTGATTTCTTTCCCTTATGTGCTTTAGGTTTTCCACGAGGTAGTTTACCACCACGATTCTTCTTTCGTCCTTTAGTTTTTTCTTTTGCTTTCGCAGCGCGTAAATCTTTTTTCATTCTTGGATCAACTAATTTGTAACGTCCTTTAACACCAGGTGGTCTCGCCGCTTTTTTCTGTGCCATATGTTTTTTCATCACCACGTAAGTAACATCCTTTTTCGGTTCTTTATGAGCTTTCTTGTACAAGCTACAAAATATTATAATTATATGTATGTATAAAGAAATACAAATACAACAGCTATTAAGAAAAATGATGACAAGAACTTATACTTACGCTTGTACTTGTTTAGCTTTTTCTCTGTCACTAATATCAGTATTATCCATTATTGCTTCTACCTTTTTCTTTGCTTTTTCTAACTTACGTAGTGCTCTTCGTTTTTTCCTTGTTTTTGCCTCTATTACCTTTTTAATTGGTCTAACATTCAAATCTTCGACACGTTTTTTGTATTCGTCAACAAGTTCTTTAGGTACTGGTGCTACATTTTTCATATGTTTTTCTTCGTCTTGCACAAACCAATCTGGTAACTTTTCATCATTAAATACATATCTGTTCCAAGCTGAATCAACTAAATCCCTTCGAGTTTTTTTACTTTGAACTAATAATGATCCTAATGCTAAGTCTTCTTCTGATAAACGTTTCTTTTTCTTTAATCTTGTACCTATATGTAAAGAAAATAATCACATAATAAATTTTATTTACTACATAAATTCATAACTCAATATTTTAACAATATACCCACTTGCTTTTTTATTATCTTTATTATCAATTTTATATGTTTCAGATTTTTTATTTGAAAGCATCACCTTATCCACATCATAATCGGAATCTGTATCATTGCTATTATAATGACCTTTATTTTCTTTTACTTTGTTTTCATTACCACCAGCTACAGGAACATCTTCTCCTATTATACAACCACCTTTCTTTTTGTATTGCTCAACCATTTTATCCAATTCAAAATCTTCATCATTTTCATTTTCTAAATTTTTAAATATATCTTTCTCAAACCACAATTCTGCTTTGTGTATCCTTTTAGTTTTTTTATCCCTATGATCTAAATCAGTTAACAAAGGATTTTCTGAATCTTCATCAATATTTTTTCTCTTTATTCTGACCTTTTTTGTATCTTCATCATCAGATTCATTTAAACCTAAAATCCAATTATGTAAAAATACTAAAATTTTTTATAAATGTAAAAAAGAAAGTAAATAGTTAATACCTAAGCCTGACTTATTACTGTCCAAATCATCATCTGAAGCATCACTTGAACTTTCTGGTTCACTATCTTCTGTTTTATAATATAATCCTGAGCTATCCAATTGTCCCTCATCCTTATTATATGTGACTTTCTTTGGCTTTCTTCGTTCTGGATCTGAATCTGCATCACTTTCTGCTATTACATTAGGATCCTGGTCTATTATGTTCTCTAACTGTTGATGTGTTTTAATATCTTTTAAGCTAAACATATTATCTTCTTCTAATATAGGACCTTCGTTTCCTTTATGGATCATTTTTAAATTAAGTCGTTCGTTTAATTTTTGTCTTTCTTTGTTTGTCTTCTTCTTTTTTCGTTTAAGCTCTCTAGCTTCTTCTTTTCTAAGTTCTTCAATTTGTTTCCTAATTTGTTCATCCTCTAAATCTTCCAATTCTTCTTGACTCATAGGTGCTGTTTCTGTTATCTCATCAGGTAAATTTTGTGTATTTGTATCTATTGGTTCTTCTTTCTTTAAAGATTCCTTTATTAGCTTCCACCAATTAATTAAATTTCGTAAATCCTTTTTACCTAATACTTTAATATCTTTACAACATTCTTTAATTTCTTTGGTCGTTTTCTCGTGATTTTCTATTGTTTCATCATCAAAAACAATTTCAGAAACATTCTGCAATGCTTCCACAGCATTTTCATGAGCTATAAAGTCTTTAACAGAAAGTCTATGATACAAAGTATAATCATTTTCTGGATAACCCTCTGCTTTATCCTTCTTCTTTTCAGGATTAAAAACGTTTAATTTATTTGTAGGTTCTATCTCTAATTCAGAAAAAACATATTTTGGATCTAGAAATTTAGGATCTAATTTGTCTGGAGCAATATAATACTGGCAAACAACAAAAATTTCTGCAGATTCTATACGTGATGCTTGTGGTTTAGTTGCATGGACCTTAAATAAAATGTAGAAAAATAATATAAAGTAATAAAAATAATATATCTATGACAACAAAATTTATATACCTTTCTAAATAATTGTTTTAACACCCAAACCAATGGATTATAATCTTTTGAACGAAAGACTTTTGTAATGAACCATCCACCAGATCGTAAAAAATGTGTTGCCATTTTAAGAGCACCTAAAGTTAAGACAATTTGTTGATATGCATCGTGAAGCCAACTTTTACCGACATTTGGAGCTCCATCATGTAATACAACATCAGCTTTCCAAGTTTTCAATTCACGTGCTATCGATACACGGCATTTATCTGTTGTAATATCCTCTACTAAACTGATACATCCTGGGATGGTTTTTATGGGAAATAAGTCTACACCTATTACTATAGAGGATACTGGCATATTCTGTCGAGCAACTTGCATCCATCCTCCAGGAGCTGCACACAAATCTATACATACTCGAGATTTTTGTAAAAATTCAAATTTTCGATTTAGCTGAATTAATTTGAAAGCAGCACGTGATCTATAACCTATAAAAGATAACCCATGTGAAAAATTGCTTATACATAGTACGTAATAAAAATAAAAGATTTTTTGTAGATATTGAAGAAACATTCAAATATTTAAATATTTACTGAATAAATAAAATTATTTTAATTTTTTTATGATTTACATTATCGGTGTGAAATATTTGGTGCAGATATCTGTTAATCTCGGCGTATTCAATTATTTTAATTTTTTTATCTTTTACTGTATTTATAGTATGTCATTTCCTAATATTTACCTGTTTCCTTTGCTAATTTGTAAAATTTATCTTTTCTTTGCTTTCCAATTTTTCCTTTCTTACCCATTTTAGATTATAAACAATTATACTTTTTATAAAAATCTTATATTAAAACCACACATTTGCCAATACTACTTTGATACACGCCGCCATATGCAAACGTAGTAAGAGTAGGGATAAAGAAAATGAAAAATTCTTTAGAAAATACTTTTATTCTCAGAAAAAACATAAAGTTGCTGTTAAATGTGAAACAAAATCTTTTGTGTATTAATATAAACAGAATTAATTTATACAATATCAATATAATATATATTATTTATGAATTCTGTTTAATTAAAATGATGCACTAAAAAGTACTGAATTTTCTTCCATATTGATGATAACATTTTTAAATATATTTTTTCTTACAATTATAACGTTTGTTTTGTATACATTTCAATTGAAGTTATATGGAATTTACAAATGGTTTTGCAAAAAATGTAAAACAGTATAGAATGAATGGACTGTAAAATAAAATCATTTACTTCCATAACTTCTTGATTGACATATTTTTTTCTGAATCTTTCTGCATAACTTTTGCTACAGCCATCTCAAAATCTTCTTGAGTAACATGAACACGACGTTCTCTGAGAGCATACATGCCGGCTTCTGTACACACACCCTAAGAAAGCAAAAGAAGAAATAGATAACTTTGATAATCATATATGTTCTGTTATATATTCAAATAGTACATTACATACCTTTACTTCTGCACCCGATGCACCAGGCATGAGTTCGGCAATTTTTCTTAAATTTATACCTCGCGTTAAATTCATTTTTCTTGAGTGAATTTTTAAAATGTCAAGTCGTGCTTCTTCGTTTGGTGGCGGGAATTCAATTTTACGATCTATACGACCTGGTCTCAATAATGCTGGATCTAGGATGTCAATTCTGTTTGTAGCCATAATGACTTTTATATTTTTTGTTGCTTCAAAACCATCCAATTGATTGAGTAATTCAAGCATAGTGCGTTGAACCTTATAATAGCATTAAATATTAATGAATATACATTTCTTAATTTAAATTTTTAAGTTTGCAGTGTAATACTTACTTCACTATCACCTCCAGAACCAGATTCAATGCGAGAACTGCCAATTGAATCAATTTCATCCATGAATATTATAGATGGTGCATGTTCCCTTGCCATTACAAACAATTCACGAACCATTCGTGAACCTTCACCAATAAACTTTTGCACCAATTCAGATCCAGATACACGAATAAAAGTACACTCAGTATGATGAGCAACTGCTCTTGCTAACAAAGTTTTACCTGTGCCTGAAAATAAATTATAATTTTATCAATAATACAACTAAGTTTTCTAATATAAAGTAAAAAAAGAAAATAAATTAAAACAATTAACTTCTGAGTTTATTCTTTACCTGGTGGACCATACAAAAGTACACCTTTAGGTTGAGCAATTCCAAGAGCGTCAAATAATTCAGGATGCTTAACAGGCAATTCAATGACTTCTTTGATTTCTTTAATTTGTTTGTCTAAACCACCAACCATTTCATATGTAGAATCTGGTACTTTTTCCACCATCATAAGAGAAACTAATGGGTCAACTTTGTTTGGTAAAATTTTATGTAAGGTATAACTTTCATTACGTAGTGCAACTCTTGAATTTGGTGTTACATCATTGATATCAATATTTTTATCTATGTCTACTACAAATTTCCCTTCAGGATGTACCTTAACCAAAACTTTCTTTTTGTCCATTGGTTTAACAACTTCTCCAACATATGATCCTTGTTCTTGAAGAAGTTGCAATTCTTCACGCAACATACGTACTTCAAGAAAGTAAAATTTTTATTGTAATATGCATAAAATATGAATAAAAGTTAATTAAAAACGAAAACATTTAATGGTGGAATAATATACCTTTTGCATTTAGCTCATTACGTTGTGCTTGTAACCTCCTTAAGTTTTGACTTTTTTCAGCTACAATTAATTGAAGTTCTTCAATCTTAGTAATGTAATATGGCTTAAAACCTTCCCCTTTCATAACTTTCTCATCTATTTCCATCTAAAAAATTGAAGGAAATAAAGATTATTGTAAAATAATGCACATTGTTTAGGTTGAAACACTTACCTTATTTGTGAGCGTCATTATTGCACTCACTACTTAGAATCTGTTAAAAATTATAGTTGTTTTTATATTGCCATTTATTTATAAAAACAAATAGAAAGGAAAATTTAAAACTTGACAGTTATATGTGATATTATTAGAAGAATTGCTTGTCATTGATACCTACTGTACGGACATTCGATCTCAACTTAGAAGTCGATTGCTGCTGTAACAATATCGAGTGTAAATTTTATATCGATTAATGCATTTCCTGTATATTGACTATAAAATATTTAGTAAAAAATGAAGCGAAACTCATCAAATTAATTTAAATTCGATTAAATAAATACATTAAAATTTTTATTATATATTAACGTTGTGAACAATTTGTTATTAACAATATTAATTTGTTATTAACAATAAGTCTAATTATTTAAAAAATTTGTTGAGAATAATAAAGTAATAAACTAATCTTTTTATTTTGATATTAATAAAATCATTACAAAGTATTCATCAATTATTCTGAATTTATTATTCTGTATTTAACGCATTTTTTTCTCTTAAAATTATTATTATTTATTCTATGCTTTTCTGGATAGAGTTGGTAAGACTGAAGGATAACGGTACTTGATACATGCTTAAAAATTTATAGAGTAAAAGAGGCGGCGACGCGGAAAATTGTACATACAATGCTACAATTTACTTAATTTATAATTTTATATAAAATTTAATACAAATAATAGAAAGTGTTTTTAAAGGTAAAAATAAAATATATAACGCATAAAGTGCAACGTGAAAATTTTATACGCCACGTGACTGCATGATTTTTACACAATTCAGATTACATAGGTTAAGGTGAAGGCACTCTAGCCGGTCGGCGGGAGATGAACTTTGCCCTCAGTTTTTATATATTTTTTATATAAAAAATGGAATTTGACCTGTCATTCAATTTCATGTCAATATTTTCCATTATTTTATTAATAGTTGCAACGATCACCACCGTCTTCCAAAAACTTAAGTAAGTATTTCTCCCTATTTTTTTCTTCTTCATTGATTACTGTCATGATTATATCATATTTCGCTCATGTGTTAGATTAAGATGGCCTGTAAAAGTAAACTGTTGGTTTTGTAATAATAATATAAAAATTTGGCGGCAGCAACTTAATTGGTGGATGTGTCCATATTGTGAACAATATAATGGTTTCTCTAAGGTAAGCAAATTTAGTGAATTAAAATTTAATAATATAAATTATTTGAAATGTACATGTTTATGTTAGCTATTAAAATCTTAATAAATATAAAATATAAAAATTTTAATTTAATTACTAGGACTATTTAATTACTAGTTTTACTAGTAAATATTAATTACTAAAATTTTATGCATAATGTATTTTGATTATTTAGGTTGGATTAATTGATTCATTAAATATTTTTAAAGTTATGGGAATATTTTAGTACAGAATTAAAACAATTTATTTATGCAATATCATTTGAAATTGTATATATGTTTTGGAACAATATTTCTATATTTCCTTCATGTAAAATTTTAGAATGGTGATTATGCATATAATATACCAGAACAATATAAAACATCTTCACATGAAATCAAAAGGTACTGTACAATCAGTCAAGGTACAATAAATAAAGATGCAAATAATGGCCTCTGCAAACAATGTAACGTGAATGAAACCATAAAAATATCAAAGTTATCTGATTATATACCTGAAAATGAAAAATCTTATGAGTATGGGATACAAAAGTTTAAAGATAGCTTAGAACAACAATATCCACTATGTGCAAAGTGTAAAACCACAGTAAATAACGTATTACATAAGCAAGCATTATGGCTTGCACAATATAAAATGTTGTTTTTTAAGCAAAAACCCTTTTGTCTAATTACTAATGTAAGTATTTTACTAAGTGTGTTATAATGAATAATAAGGTTTTGTAGTATTTTTTATCAAAATTTTTTCATTCTTTGTAGAATACAAAATATTCTGAATTAATATGCAGAATAATTTCAACAATATTAGGCTCTATGATTGCATACAACATGGAATTAATATTCTTACCAATTGGAGGATTATTTTTTCAACTGTGTGCCTGTTGGATAACTTCTACCAAAAAACAAAGTTCTGATATATTACTTATGTTTTTATGGATTTGTATGATTATACTTTTACCATTTAAAGACACAAAATTAATCAAGGCAGATTTACACAATACATGGTTTTCTCTAGATTATATAACTCAGTATCATATGGTAAGCTAATAAATTAAAATAAAATATACTGTATTAATAGTTATGTCTTAATACATTAAATTTGTTCATTTCCAATCATTTTTACTTTAGATAATGCTATTTATCTCAGTCATAGGCTTCATGAATGTCATGCCTAAATCTCATAAAAGTACATTAAACAAAAATATGTCATTCAAAAAGATTGAACCTCTGGTAAAAAATACAGTATTATCCAATTCATACACAACCACTTCAAATAATAAGCACAACTTTAGTATTCAAACTACCAGTAATTTAAATGGAAACATTATTAATCAATCAGCACTGAATACAATGAAAGACTTGTATATGCCTTGTACAGAAAATTCACTAAATTGTAAATCTACAATTTTTCAAAGTTCACTGTAAGTAAATTCAATTTTTTAATTTTTCATTAACTTTAATCATAATAAAACAAAAGAAACTAAAGTAATTTTTTATATTATAGTAAAAATCCAGAGTCACAATTATCATCAATGCCTATTAATGATAATGATACAGTATTTAATTCTACACCTGTATGCAAAAAAAGTATGATAGATAACAGTTACTCATTGAATGAGAGTTTGAGCACATTAAGTATATTATCATTGGGCGAAGATAAGCCAAAATATTTGGTAAAAATACCAAAAATTTTTGAAACAAAAGTGTATAGTACAAAAAGTTCTGAACTCTTTAAAAAATCCAGTAAAAAAAATATTTTATCACCACCAAAATTAAAATCAGTTATGCAGACATCATGGGTAGCTGGTGGTTATTGGCAGGAAGGCATAGATGCACCATCATTATCAAGATCATCCAGTCAAAGCTCTGGCTTTGGTTCTGCAGGTTCTAATTTTGGCCCATCTAGAGAACCATCCATACATGAATTTGATCAATGTTCAGTTATATCAGATACAACACAGTCTTGTTATACTTTAGCACAAAGTAACAGTCATGTTGGATCTTTTTGTCAACGGGGCTTACAACTTCCATTGTCAGAACCAAAAAATCAGTCAGTTAATAACCAAACAATGAAACTTGCATCGGGTAATCTTTATACTCCACGAACGTTATTATTGTCCCAAAATAACAAAAGAAATAATTCAATTTTAATGGATCAGTGTCCACAAAAACAAGATATGAATATAAATGATATTAAAAGTCCCTCTAAAATGCAGATGTTTCCTAGTCATACCACTGTTGTAACAAGTCCCGTTTGGTTACCAGTCCTTTTATGCGGTTCACTTGTGTTAAATATAATAGTGTTATGTACTACTTTGTTACGTTAAACAGAGTATACCGTACATCTATCGCCATTATTTCTGAATTTACATTTGCCATTCGTACATATTGTAGTTGTTAGTTATAAATTAAGTTGTTTATTACTATATGAACAGTAATTACTTTTTATAAATAGTAATCAGTGATATAGAAATCTGATAAATAAGCGATATACTGCCAGTGTAAAATTTTCTATTATAATCATAAAGTTTTGTCATAATCACTCATTTTTTAGTTTACATAAGTCACTGTAAATAAATATTATTTTTTTATACGCATTTTATGAAACATCAAATTTGAACAATAATATTAAGTTAAATGCATAGTAATGGAAAATGGATACTGGTCTGATAGAAAATTCATATGACATTTTAAACTGTCAATCTTGTGATAAAAAAAGAAATGTTCTCCATGTGTGTTCACTAGTAAGATATGTATGTAACCCAACAAATTTAAGAATTAAGAATTAATGAAATAATGTGAAATTACGTTCACTTTGTATTGATGTTTTATTTTTTTTTAACTTTATTATTATATTTGTGCATATAAGGAAGACTACTGTTTTGATTCTTGTGACTTATTATATATTAACAAACAGACTATAAATCTTGTTAAACCAATATTGTTATAATAATACATGTTATTTTTTTGTGTAGATTTTGGTATTTGCAGTCTTGTACTATTATATTGAATGTTTTGAATTATAAAATTTGAGAATAAAATGATAAATTTTGTAAATAATGGATGTAATTTTAGTAAATTCTGTATCTTTATTATATCTTTAAAAATATGGACAAGAAACCATAGTGCATTGAAAAATTTTCTTATCTTTAATCTCTATATATATCAACACAAAAATTTTAAGTAATTGATAAATATTTAATGTTTTTTAAATAGTGATAATTGAAAATTGTAACTATAGATTGGTTTTATAAACAGAAAATGTCCGCAGGCGGTAAAAGTACAAGTTAGCAATATTATAAAGTGAAATAAAATGGCAGTAAAAGTTTCCATAATGCTGTTATTATATCTTAAAGTTATTTCATAACTATTTCGAAATTGAATTAAAAATGATGTTCAAGTTTGCTAATTACACCATCAATATAGCTTAATGTTTTTATTCTTGCTTTTATATAGTTATTCCTTTTTCTTTAAGCATAAATAGATGTAACTACAAATAATTTAATTACAATTTTCAATATATTCAAAATTTGTATTAAAAATTTTGTACATATGTAAATGATGAAATTCAAAGTGTTCTGTATATTTGTAAGAATATGTATTATGTCTTACTACAATGTGATGTTAAAGTAAATTAACAAAATAAATATTACAATATTTTTATTTGAGATATTACATTTTTGTTGAGATTTGTAACAATTTAATTTATGGATAAATATATTTCATATTGTTTCTTTTTCATTTTGCATAGTTAATAATGAATTTTTAACTTTTAGTGGAAATAAACAGTGTTCAATATTTGATAATTTATGTTCAAAATGACTAAGATCTGGTACATTAAAATTCACTTTTCGTCTGTGAAATCTTCAATAAAGTTAAATATAACAGTTAAATAAAAATATTTGATAAAAATTATAATTTATTTTGAATAATAACTTACTGAGCACTTGGTTTCATATTTAATGGTTTCAATTGTCCAATTTCTTCCCTATAAGTAGACCACCAACGACATTTAGCTATTCCTTCCTTTGAATCTTTGTATATTTCTTCTTTTAATGCATCTTGTAATCCAAATTGTGTCAATGTACCAAAACTTTTTGTTAAATCCTGTTCAGGGATCCATTTCCTCTGTCTCCAAATATAAAACATAAATTTTATGAAACACCAATATATGATAGTAAATCATTTGAGTAATTCATTAGTAATTAATATATACACATAAAATGATACATACCTTGCATTATATGACCTAATTTTAGGTACTTTGAGACTTTTTGGTAAAACATTATAACATAAATCATAAGTTGTTGTCATGTTATTATAATATTCCTTTCTATGATCAAAAATTTTTTCTTGAGGTAAACCCTTACCACGAAATTCAATTTAAAAACATTATTGTAAAAATTAAATATTATTTAAAGATTATATTATATATTTACTTTTTATATATGTTCATATACCTCTTGAATAAGTTTATTTTCCCATTTTGCAATTTTATTTATTTTCCAAGTTTTATTAATATGAAGTTTAAAATCTATTTCATATAAAGTTCGCCAATCATCAGATTGGGATGTATAACTTGCTCTATGCTCAAACCAATTACCTACTAAGGTTTTTGATGTATATTTGTTTTCACTTAATACTGGTGCACGATCTAGTTTACTCTTTGCAGGAAATAATTTCTTTCGTACATCTGTTAATGATAATGTACTGTCTAAACACTGTTGTTTCACATTCCAGTTCATGGCATTAATGGCATTCATCTTTAAAAAAATATCACAAGAAAACAAATCAAGTAATGAAGTACGATTGAATGAATACTTAGTGTTCTTCTATTTAAACTAACATGTAAAATAAATAAGGAATGTTGGTTAATTATAATTTTGATATTAAAAATGCAAATATACATGTGATATAAATTATTTTATTATTAAATAAATATGCTATCCAAGAATTATTATTAAGTAGTGTTTTACTAAAAAGTTAATGCATTTAATTTATTCTTTTAATGCGGATATCGTCAATTAATAATCAAGTAATAGTAGTAATAATAATCATAATAATAATAATAATAATAATAGTAATAATAATAATAATAATAATAATAATAATAATAAACTTCTTAAAAGTAATCTCAAATAAATGAGGGTGTATATTGCGTGTAACATAATCTATGGTACCTTGAAGCTACAGCTTCTATAAATTCTGCATACAAATCTACCATCTAATTCTAGGAAAATTTTTGGAATTCCTACTTCATTTTATTTTCTGTTTCAGATGAGGTAGATCTGAACTTGATTAAGGGCTTTAAAAGAATGTTATAACATATACACAAAACATGCAATGAAAAAAGAATTTATTATTCGCATTGCATTTTTATAGTAAACCTACTTCGATACTTATAGGTTTCGCTATGCACCATCGAGCATCAATATAGATTCTTTAGAACGCCTGTAATTTTTGTATGATATGGAGCTTAATTAAATAAGCACACGTATGGAACATATAATAATTTCTTGAATAAAGCATAGTGTAGCAAAGCACGTGATACAACTACATAAGTTTGTCGCACTTTTTCTGTACATTTTTCGGTTTCTAAAACAATGAAACGAATATCTACATCTGTCAACTTATTTATTTCCTTCACATTCGCATACTTCGTACAGTTTACAAAAAAACGGCAGCAGTTATAGATCAACCTCCTCATTAATAATAATCCTTGTTTTCCTGTGTGTATATACCATTATAAGTTAACTACTTTTTCTTTATTATAATTTTTAACACGTTTGAGGTATTATGAAAATAATAATAACTCTGATTTGCTTTTTGTTTTTTCTATGCATATATCGGAGGTTTCCGAATAGAAAGATTTTTATGACAAGCGTCTGATTTTCGAGGAGTTTTTTATACAATAAAATTCATCAAATCGTTTATCAAGCTCCATTGCCTGTTTCAATTATACAAATGATTCATACGTAATTCATTGTATAAAAGAAAAAAAATATCAATTAAGAAAAAATACAAATAATTTAAATTATGCTAATGTATAACAGGCTGATTCATGTACTCGATGAGCTATCATCGTTTTTAATTATTTTTTAATTATAACAAAAATTTGTTTAATAAGTACCTTACAATTTCTTTCTCCATGTTGAAAAATCAATAATGCCTTTATAATACTCTATAAAAATAAATGTTATTTAGGAAGGAAAAATGGTCGATGCCCAAAACTCACAATTAAAGAGTTGGCTAAGCTGACATTTTATTTCATGATTCAGTAGCTTAAGAAAAGAATAGAATCATGATTCAAAATTCAGCTGATACATTAATATCTTAGTTGAACAGTAGAATGAAAAATACATTATTGTATGACAATATTTTGACAATTGTTAAGGCTTTGAAACAGTAATATTAAGTGTATTTTGCAATAAATACATATACTTGTAGCCTTTAATGAGTAGAGCAATTTGTAAAGATCATTTTGTTAATTTGCCAAATAAATGTAATGGAGTATGATTATATTTACATACATTGGACAAGAATATTTCAATAATAATTGCACTCATTATGCACCACGCACTTGTCTTTGCATGTTAGCAAACACAATTTCACCCTCAATATCACAAAAGTTAAAAAACGGAAGATGACAAAAATGATCTCACATGGAAACATGATTTCTTTCACTGTTGTCTACAACAATGAAAGACAATGATTCATAAAGAAAATGTTAACCTTTCTTGCCTACATACCATAAAGAATCTGCACATAACAAGATTCCAGCATATCACAAACAGATATTTTGTTGCGCACAATTTACAGAAACCTATCTTAAATTAATATTGTTTAGAATTCTCCTGCTCTGGGCAATACATCAAGTACGTGTGGCTCGTACATTTTTAAGGGAATCATAAATAAAAAAATTACAACAAAGTACATAAAAAGTACACATTGAAAAGCATTAATTACTGACAAATATGATTAAAGAATAGAGTTTTCTAAAAAAGAAAATGCACGTGTGTAACGTTCATTCGGCGATTACACTGAAAAAGAAAAACACATGTGTGAGCGAATTTTCGGCGGCCTGCAACAGGTTTTAGGAACTTAAGCAGACCTGTGCAATAGCTCACAATTAGACGTACGGTATACATCTAGGTAACATCCGAGCATAAGCTCAACATGAAGAAACGTAAATTAACACGTTTATCTAAGACAAAAGACTTCCCTATAGACCAAATTTCGTTGGTCTACAAAACTTTAAATGTAGTATAAAAGCCTCTGATATAAACAAGAATAAGCGATAATAAATTAATTTAAATTAGATGATTATATAAAGATTGATGTAATGAAAACTGTACTATAATTAATAAAATAAACGTGAACGAAGAAAATTCTTCTGTTGAAAACGTTTATAAAGCCATTGGTTCTTGGACCTCAATAATATTTAGAGTAACCAACAAACTTAACTACCAGTTAAGTGGGCTCTCTTGGGAGGTCCGAAAAAATCTGTTGTCACGAATGTGTTAATAGCAATGGAGAGAATTCTTACAATTATAAATATTTATAAGCCACGATCATTCCTACAATTTTTTCAAAGCCGCATGTCCAATCGCATTTCATGTCAGCGATACCTACCAAATCTTAAATAGTACTGCCTCGTTTGTTCGGAAACTTTAATGTTAATAGCAGATTAGATAAAACTACTGTAGATAAGTCAATCAAATTATATTAGAGTCACTTTCAGAAATTTATTTTCTATTCTATGATAGTAGAATTCATTTATCTTTTTAAAAATATAGGGCTTAGTATATAAAATTTTGATAGAAATAAATATTAAAACATTGTTCATGAGAGGCCTTTGCATGATTATTTGATAGACATTCACCTTTATTTATCGTGCATGATATTAAGTTAAATAATTTATAAAAATTAACTATTTACAAATCGATAGGACATGCAGCACTAATTTTATAACTTAATGCACTTATTTGAATATACCTAAGCACATGCTTGTTTCGAGACAAATAAAAAGAACTGGCGGTGCTCCTTGCGGATATATTACGTCTATTACCCTTACTATATAGTTGTAACATTTATGGGTATCCACTACAAATTAGAGTCTCTGGAACTCTATTGTTTTCATTCATGAAAGCGTTCTTGCATTCGTTTTCTGTAAAAGTGAAGGGTTTGGCATTATGCTCACGATCACTGTACGCTGTTACCCATATCTGAATAAAAACATGAAAAAAATAAATATAAAAACTAGATTAACAAAAACATTAACTAAAAATTAATTTTTTAATTAAGTCACCCAAACCCATTTATTAGGAAAAAATATTGAAAAATAAATTTAAAATTTTCACAAGGTTTGTTCACTTTATAAATAATTTTTCACTTTTAGATATTTTTATATAAAATTATATAATTTTCATAATAATTACCACCACATATTTCAAATCAACATCTAGTTGAAATACATTTGTACAAAGTCGAACAAACCAACAATTTTATAGTATAAATATAAATACATATGTACATAAAAAGAATATATATAAAGAAATATATATTCAAATTATTACTTACCACGATTTCCTGCTCTAATAGCATTAACATTTATATGATGTTGACCAGCTCTAATTGGTTTAGCAATTTGCGCACTGGGTCCACGACGGGCTAAATTCTTCTGTCTAACAGCTTCTTTGATTCTATCTACTTCATACTGATAACGTTTACGATCTCGCATTGCACCTTCTTTGGCATCTCGCAATGCTGTTTCCAGAGCTTTTACACGATCCATTGTAGCTCGTAATCTCTTTTCAACTTTGGGCAATTCACATCGAAGATCAGCGTTATCTCTCACAAGTTGCTTATGTACCTATAGAAATATATACGTAAATAAAATTTATACTATAAATTTAACAAAATAAAATTATATAATGTTAAGTTGTAAATACGTACCTTCGTAAGCTGATCTAGGTTATTCTCAAGGAAGGAAATTTTTTGTTTTTGTGTAAGCGATCCGCCACCATCTTCATTATTTTCTACAATCATTGTTTTCTTTATTCTAGCCTGGAGATCTTGGACAAATAATTTACGTAAGTTGTGCAATGTTTGAAGTTCTTTGGCTACTGTTTCCTCAAGACCTTTAAGATCTTTTCGAGCCTACAAAAAGAAGTAGATTAGTAATCATAACATGTTTTTGTATTATTTCATATATTTTGTAAAAATGTTGTGCATACTTGTTCACGACGTTCATTAAATAAGATCAATTCTTGCAATTTAACAGATTTGTTTGCTTCTTCCTGTTTAAGTCGTTCATAATCAGTTTGCATTTGTTGATGAGCTAATGTGAATTTCTGATTCAAATCTTTAAGTTCACTAATCAATTCTTGCTTCTCAGACAATTCATCTCTGAGTGCTGCAACCTATCATAATATTCAATTAATAATGATAATAACAATAATATATCATACTAATATAAAATATATTTATCACGTATTACTTGTTTCTGATGAGCATCGCGTAGTTGATCCATTTGTTCTTCTAAGGCTACTTTCATCTTTGTTGCTGCTTCTGTCTCTTCTGCTTTTTCTTTATTTGTGACTGCCTGTACCTGTTCTGCAGCCTTTAACTTGGCACATTCCTCGCGTAAAGCATCAACATCTTCTTCTAAAGTACGTTTACGTGCTTCTGCCACTTTCATTGATTCTGTTAATGTTTGCATACGAGCTTCATGTTGAGAAATTAATAAACGACATTCAGCCAAATCCTTTTCATATTCAGCAACCTAAAATAAATTTTATGAATGAGTATCAAAATGTAAAAATCAAATATAATGAATTCAAAGAGTACGAAATCGAATGCTTACTTTCTTGTTACAGTCTACTTGGAAACTTTCTAATCCTTGGCATCGTTGTACTAAATTCTTCACCTCTGATTTCATTTTGCTAATGAACAGCCTTGCCACTGTAAATTCTTCTTCAAGTTTACCATTGCTTTCCGTAGATGCAACCTATAATATACGAAATTTTTAATATTTTATATAATTACATTGTAAAACATTTTTTATGTAATTTAATAAGTCAGATTTTACTTTTAGATTTTCATCACCACCAATCGCTACTCCAATTTCGCCCAAATCATTTAAGAAATTGGCTAACATTTCCGCAATACGCTTTCTCTGATGAGCTGACATATCTCGCAATTGTTGTAATTCTGAAGCAGTACTATTCAATGTAGTTTGTTTCGTTAAAAGTTCTTCTGTCAAAGTTTCTGTTTCTTTCTTCTTAATATCACACTGCAAAAGTAAAATGTCAAAATATTGAAATTAATAAAATTAAAAGTTGACGAAATACAAAATGTTATTATAATTTTTAATACAAATGAAATAAGAAATTAATTATTAATAAAAAATAATACCTCTTGACACTTTTGATCATAGTTAACTGCCAATTCTTCCAATGCTTGTAAAACTTCTTTAACTTCTTCCTTAGCCCGTTCATGTTCTTGCTGTGTTCGGTTTACTTCCTGTTGAAGTTTTTCGTACTCACGTCTCGCGGTGGCAATTAATTCCGTCTGTTCGAGAATTTGTTCTTTCAGGTTTTCAACATATTGCGATTGTTGATTAATTTCTTCATCCTTATCATCCAACTGTTGATAAAGCCTTTCACGTTCCTCTTCCAATTTTTGTCTTTCTTCATTAGATAAGGATCCAGCCATCAAATTGCCACCAGGGGTAGCCGGCATTGGACCATCATCGAGTTTACCTAAATAAATATTGTAACTTGTATAATATATGTCACAATATATCTTTACTTTCATAAGATAAGTTATATAGTACCTTCAATGGATATATTAATCAATGCTGTAACATCTGGTGCCTCGACTAAGTTAACTTGTTCTTCGGGTTTAACCGTTTCACCTTGTCGCCAACGCGATAATTCGGCCTCTAGTTTCTCAACTTTTCCTTTCAATCTAGCTGCCTTTTCTTTCTCCCTCTCATAGCGTCGTTTCCATTCTTCAGCCGTCAATTCCTCATTAACGCATATAACATTCTTAATAGTTTTAGCACGTTTACCTGAATAAATAGATAAAATAACAATCGAAAAATTTCATACATTTTATCAAAAAGAAATTAAGAACTTTTTTATTACCAAAATCTAAAGTCGATTTTGTTTCTGATTCATTGAAACTAGCTGGTGAACAACAAATAATAATTGTAGTTCTAGCATTACCACCAAGAGATTCTTGTAAAATTCTAGTTAACTTTGAATCACGATAAGGAATGTGTGTTTTATTTCCATCAGCTAAAGCTGAGATTACATTGCCAAGTGCTGATAATGATTTATTAATATTTTTTGCTTCATCTAACACAGTACCTTCTGCCCCAGTTTTGGAAACCTGAAATGTAATGCAATCACAAAACCAATATACTATTAGAAAGAAAAAATATTGCAAAAATTTAATAAAATAAATGTACCCCACCTTTTCTGAACCAGCCAAATCAACAAGATATAATTTCCCAGAAAGTTTCTTTTGGTTTTCTAAATTTTCCTGTTTTACGTTTATTAAGAATACAGAATGAGAACGTGAACTGTGCTCATTCATATTAGTCACAGCAATGTGCCTATTTGATTTTCCTTCTTCTATTACTTCAAACACTTCTTCGGGACTAGATACAAAGCGCTCTGTTGCACCTTTCACAAATGGAACTCGATTTTTATCTTCATGTACACTTAAATTCACCTTGGACACTGAAAATAAATCAAATTAAATTATAAGTATTAATTTTAAGATATATAAATGTGCAAGTAAATTTTTTAAATGCATAAGTAAAATTAATAATAAAGAAGTATTTACTATCAAGAAGATCTCTGATTTTATCCATGTAGATTTCAAAATATGATACTTTGATGTGAAATTCCAAATTTTCTTCCATACCATAAATATGATTGAAAATATCATTAACAATTCTGGGAATGATACCCTGATTATTGGGATCTCCAATAACACCTTCCATAGTATGTGTTTTACCTAATTTATGTAAAATATTTTATTATACAATGTTATATCAAATACATTTCAAACAAGATAATTTGATATAATTTTTAATTAAGATTTCATTTTTATATTGATAATTAATACGATATTAACATGTTTTACTTAATAAAATGATGATTTACCTGAAGATGTTTGACCATATGCAAAAATAGTGCCATTGTACCCTGCCAACACATCTGTGACAATTGATCTAGCTGCTTCATTGTACACTTTGTCTTGAGTGGCATTTGGTTTAAATACTTTGTCAAAAAGATATACTTTTCCCTAAAATAATATCGAAATATTAAATTAAAGGATATATAGTGCTATATAAAAATCTTAAAATATTCGCCTATTTTAACAAAATTCAAATATATAATATAAATTATTTAAATTTTATTGCTTTATCTCTATACTAGTTACATCAATAATATATTTCATCTTAACTAGGTACACGAAAATAAAATGTTTAATTGCTGAAGCTTTTTATAGAATGAAAAATATACTTGAAATGATGGAAATACATTTCGTTAGGGTAGCCGTAGGCAACATTTTTTTCGTCATTCTTTCCATCCGACAATAACTTTATATATGTCTTATCGGTATATATAAAAATTTTAAAATATAATACAATATTGCAGACGCTTAAATTAAAGCCTGGAATCGGTTCAAAGTTTGAGTAGAGGTCATCGATTCGAATAATTTTGTTCATAAAGGTGGTTACGAAGAAAAAAGACCTATATGCGGCAAAGTACTCCGAAATAAGTCACTTTATCAAGAGAAGGGTACTCTACAAGAGAAATTTCGAAGAAAGTGAGACTGAGTTTCGTGGATTCGAAAAAAAAGTGTTGCAGATGTAGATAGCTTTAAATTAAAAAACGACCAAGAAAATCAATATAAAAGAAAATAAGAAAAAAATAGGAGAAAAATAAATGATAAAACAAAGGATTGATATTTCCTACTATTAAACAAACATAATAGAATAGAAACTGCTTTAGAAATAACAGCAGAAATTACTATACGACGGAATGAACCAATTTCGATGGCGACGGATAAAATTCAACTCGTGGAAAGTGGATTTCAAAGATGAATAATTGTGAATAGACTTTAGCTCGAAGCACAAAATATAGCAAAAAGATTTCAGCGTATTAGAAACCATCAATATTGATCGCTAAAAGACAATTGGATACCAAAAAGAATATTGTAGGTAAATAAAATCAAATTTGAAATTTTTTTATCTAAATAGTGAATTTTCGTAAAGAAAATAAAACGCTAAATAATTGCCTACAAAATCTATTCAGAAACAATATAAACTACGATGGAAATGAGAGTAATAGAATAGCTACCCCAATTGCATGATGTTAACCCTATTGAAAAATTATATAGCGAATTAAACCGAAAAGTACAAAAAATATTAAACAAATTCATAAACGGAATTATGAAATACTAAATAAGAATAAAAAAATATTAATGGCGAAATAAAATGATATTATAATGGAAAAATAAGAAAAAAGATTAATTATTAGTACGTCAACATTAGTGGTAGTATTTATGACACGCGGAAGATACGTAGACCAAAAAAAGTTCGAATTATTATTGATTTTGGCAAGGCTTTAACAAACTAACACACATGTTTGTTATTATATATGAAGCAAATTATCTGAAGTATTATAAAGGAGTGCATTTCTTTTACCATTATTTTATCAAATCCAATCATTTTTTTAATTCTTTATACAGTGTTTTAAATATTTTAAAATTTTTGGTTGAGGATGTACTTGAGGAATATAATATAATATTATTTCATGATTTCAAAAACTGATGATACAAGGCAAACACTTGTGAATTTTAAATAAGTAAGAACAAACTTAATTGTAATAGAATTTTACTTTTATAGTATATATTCCATGTATTAGCATAAAACACAATAGAAATCATGTACAAGAAGATACATATTTCATATATATTTCTAAATCCCTTTGAAGGCTAGAAGAATATAGGAAAAAGGGAGACAATTGCACTCAATAAAGCTTTGTTTCATGAATCTCTTGAAACAATAGCGATATCTTTACTAAGTACCAAGCTCAAAAGGTTTTCATAATGGAATGGTACATTCATGAACATAGTATCTATTTGAAAGTATATATATTTCAAATTATTTCAAATCATAACATGTTGAAGGATAATAAAAATAGTATACAGAATAACTTTAGTTTCTATACACATATAATACATTTAATGAATATTATGAACAATAGACAAGCAATATTTAATATAATTAAAATATAAATTACAAATTATTATACAAATACAGTTTTATCTTGCAAAAATACTGTATTTATATAAAAATAATAAGATTAGAATGTAGGATTAATAAATAGGATTAAAAAATATTAATTAGAAAAATTCGAATGGTTGAAATGATTTGATAATCTTATCTACATCTTATAAATTGCGAAATAATTTACTTGTTAGTAGAATTAATAAAATCGTCGTATATAAAATAACATTAGATACATATATTATATATTTTTATAAAGATACAGTAAAAATCAAAGTAGTGTAAATATTTTGCAAAACTTTAACAAATGTGGAAAACATAGAATCATTTATTACATTGAACGTTAGCAAATGCGAACTCAAAGATTTCGCAAAACTGAACTTGCACTTGTCCGATTGACAACGATAATTTTCTAATAGAGAGAATAAATAATGTTAATAAAACAATGGACTATCGTTACAAATTAGAAAGACGTTCGATCGTCAATAATTTAGAACTGTATATATTTCGAAATTAAGCTTTAATCGACCGCTTAAATAGATGCGTCAAGCGAAGAAATCGTTCAGCGAAACGAACACTGATGGAGGCGGAATGAAATCCATTTCGCCGAAAATAACAAAAGTGAATCATCGAGCATCGTTTGAAAAATTCTGTAATCGATGTTAAATGTACAGTATGCGGTTTGCAGATAGGATATTCGGCAGGGAGAAGGACTAAGAGCAGCTCTCAGCTGTGCACGATGACATCACACATAAGCTGGACACGATTAACGAACGTGATAACTAAAAAAATACAATGACGTGTATAAAATACATACCCCGATAGAGATGCAATTTTCCTCGCCACCAGAAGGAAATTTCACAATAAATTTAGAGCCAGCTTTTTCCTCGGAGTCGTTCAAAGGTCGAAATCTACAGACTACCTTAATACTATCCTCCGCGGCAATCTCACGCTCCCTTGGCGTCTCCATTGCCATATTTTGGTAGCTTGAATTCGTGACACGAGTTCCTTAGTTCTTCTAATTAGCCACAATTAAAAATGATTTCCAATCTCTTGTAGGGTGCATAGGCGACGAGATGGTCGCGCGAACCGCATGAAGAACCACTACCGTCTCTCTGTCACAAACCACAGCCCGTTTCGGAGCCAGTAAAGATGGCTGCCGTTGTTCGATGATTTTGCGGGTGGGTTGATTTGCGTGTGCAAAGGTAAGAATCAACGAATGTACTTATATTAGACTGAAGAAGGAACATGGACAATAGGTGACACACAGTAATCTTGTTTTCTAATACATTACTACTCTATACTAAGTTGGAAAGTGATTTTTTGATTATACTTGGTTCTCTAAAAAGCAATCGATGAGAAGTCAAAACAAAGTTTAACGCAAACGCATCGAACTAAACGTGCGCGCGCGCTGTACGACTTGCCTGTTTGCGCACACGAAACAGCATTGTCGGCGGATATCATACGTTGTCAGGGCTGTAACCTGCGTGGGTGTCGCTTCTTTTCCCACTTTCTTTCAAATTACTTTTTTAGTAAATACGTGGGACAACAAAGTCCTTTCTTTAGAAAATGAATCATAATTTATGAATGACATTTTTAAATTATTCAGTACATTTCAAAGTTAACCTTAATATCTGACATTATCTTATGTTATACATATATTTTAGATCAAAAATTTGTATTTTAATTTAGCTTATAAAAATTTTCTCTCGTTAACTAACATTTTTAATTCGTTATTTGAATCTAAGTTTTTATCTAGTTTCTCCTAAATAGTAATCAAATTTTGTATAGCAGATTTTTTATTTCATGCAATTAACAAGAACAACTGTTACACGAACAGTTTAACGTATTGCAATTTTCACAAATTATTTTTAATGAAACAATGAAATAACACTTGGGTTTAATATTTTAATTTTAATATTGTTAAAAAGTTAATTTCCAATTTCTCTACTAGATGGCCATTCATACTTGAGATAGATATATTCTCGATTAATATGAATTTCATTTAAATGTATTTGTAAGTCTACGACATGTACTCAAACTTTGCTATTATTAATATTTATGAATGTAATTTAAATTTGTTACCTTTAATATCATAGTTCATAAACACAATTTACCAAAAAATAAACAAATATTTTGCTAATAACATTACAATATTTATGTATCAGTGTTCATTAAAACGTCCGCAATAATATTTTTATAATATTAGAATATTGTATCAAAAGGATATATTCAATAAACATTTTCTGTACAGAAAGATGTTTATTATTGATCAGCATTTAATGCATTGATCTACATGTAGGCTAAAATCACATTTTGTGTATCTGTGTCTTCATATGATTATTTACAATTTTGTTGTAATAAAAAATATAACAAAATATATAAAATTATAGAAAACAATTATTAATGTTTTATTAAGGTATCATCACAAAATTTTAAACATTTCTTATTTTTTAAAACGGAAATAAGATATATATCGTATAGTATTATTTCTATTTGATATATGAATTTGTAATTTAAAACGAGATTTCATGTCTCTTAAATGAACTAAAAATACAATTTAAGAATTTGATACTAATTTCACATTTTTTTATATTGAAATACGGTACTGCCTTTCTTTACCCTCATTATTTTTGTTCTTACATCCTTTCGTGACCTTCATAACCTGACGTTTATTGATTTAAAGAGATTTTGCACTATGCGTATACATAGATTGCAACATTGGTCATTTGTCGTAAAATTTTTTGATGCAAGTGTCTACTAAATACTTTATGATTTCATAAAATAATAAAACATTACATTTCATAAAATGGAACATCAAACTGATTACAAATTGACCATAAAAATTTTGTAGGCATACTATGTAAAATTTTGTTCGTATTGTACTTATTACGTAATAATGAGTAACATACATGTGAAACTATTAAAAACTTTATCGATCAACTTTCTTTTTCAGAACAGTATGAATCATCAACTCGATTTCGTGTTGTTTAGATAATAAAGTTATGAAACATTTGAATTTTTTTTTTTTATTAAAATACGATTAAAAACATTAAAGATATAATTGTATAAATTGTCGGCATATATTTTTAGAAAATTGTATAATATACCATAACTAAATTATATTTTCCGGAGATATCGATTATTAAGTTTTAAATTTCATTAAATATTTTAGTTTTCATAAAATTATAATTGCTTTATTAATTAAGAAATATAGTTATCGTAATTTTCTTTTTGCATAAGGAAAGACTGGAAACTATAAAGGAAGAAAGAACAATATTTAATGTAACATAACAAAAGAGGCACATTTTATTTCCTTTAACAATAAAGTAAAGAATGCTCTCACACAGTCATGGTTCATTGTAAATGTTGTGTGTTATCTAAGATTACAATGCCTGTAACTTGTACAGTACATACTAAATAGTTTATAATTTGCCATGCTATGACTAGTTTACAGATAATATAAAGTGCAACTTATTTTCAACAATCACATAATATTAGTATTTCCATTTAATAAATATCATTTCTATTATTACTACATTAATGTTATTTATTGTTATTTACCGACTTCGTTACTACTATCATCACACAAAATCAAACAATTATTTAAAAGAAATTTTTAAGGTAGATAACATATGGAGATGGTTTCATATTTTATATCTAATACTCATTATTTATCTTACCAGTATTTATATTTAATACTCCATTTCGAATTTTACTAAATAACAAATAAATTCATTAAATTACACTTTTAATGTAATTTAGTATCAGAAAAGATATAAATAAAGTTATGTTGCTATTTCTCACTTGTTACAGGAACCCGTATATGTTTTATATTTTATACATGCTCTCTCTTTTTAAGGACGAGGAACGACTGAACGATTAAAAGATGAAATTTTTTATGCTAAAGCCATAAAAGCGAAATTAAAATTTAGGAGGTAGAGTAAATCTTGAAGCATGGGAGTATTTATGTGACCACTTCTTCAAGTAATATTATAATGTTTCTTTAGCATAGTTCTAAAATTAGATTTAAAGAATAAAATAAACAAAAATACAAAAAACGTTGTACATGTTAAATACAATTGTGTAAAGTGTCTGTATTAATACTAAATGTGAAATTAAAAATTAAACCACAATTTATTATTATTACTTTCATTGACTTTGTATTTTTTATATATTATTCATATTTTCATTGTCTATTTATTAACTTGTTTTTTGGACATTTTACAAATACTTGATTAAATTTTTACTTGGCCTGAAGATAAATTATATAAAATACATTAGAAGAATGTTTATAAAACATCATATCTTGTGTGAAGATATTTTTAAATATGCAATAAAAACTTTTTGTGTTATAAACATTCTTCTTGTATAACATCGTAAATTAATTACGACAATATTAAATAAATTGACATGGAATGTCTGAAAATATTAGAAAAATAGCTGCAAAATTTAATATTTAAAAATATAGACTAGAAATCAGTATCATACCTATAAACTAAGTAGACCACAGAATAAATTAGTAATATAGTTAAATTACATATGTTTGTGAAATGCGACATTAGTTTCCGAATTTTTGTAAAAAATTTGTAAGAGTATTTTCATAAAATATAAGGAAAAGAAGCTTTCATAGAAATTACTTTAAATATGTCATCTATTTTTATATCAATTTCAAACTCAATTTTTTTTTTATAATCTATACTATAATGTTCTTTTAACAATTTCTTTAATCATTGAAATTCGAATAAAAGTTTTAATTACATATATTCATATCTAAGTATTTTTTTCATAATGTATTAAATTTCTAATTTTTATACAAGAAATGTACTGCGTGAATTATTATTTAATTTCAATATAAATAGATTACAGCAACATGTATACAATATTTAAAATTTTCAAAATAGGCGCAACTGTTTCTCTTAGATATTTACATTTTGATACAGTTTTGATTCCAGTGATCTTAAAAATCCAATCACGAATTTCTGGATAATAGAATACATTACCAATATATACCTTTAAATCCGCAATGACGCTTCATTGTATGAAACTTAATATTTTCCTTATATGTTATGCATTTGCTGTAATCATAGCAAATTTACTTTACTCTATTCCAAAAGTATTTGTTTCTTCTACAGCCAATAAAAGCTTTTCATATAAAATTTCAGGTGTAGGATATGGTGGAAGATCCAAGCGATTGAAACACGTATGTGCCCTAAAAAGATATTAAGTTTGAAGAAGAGCATTATTAGATAAACAAAACAGTATAACTAACAAATTTAAAAAATATTCACAGCATAAATATTATAAAAACTATAGTTTTATCGTTTATTACATTATTTTTTAAACAAAAATTTGTATACCTGGGTAAACTATTTGGTCTTCCCCATTTTTCAATGCAAAACTTCCGTGGTCCTGTAGACCCACGTAGGGCTGCAAATCCTTCATATGGAATGCTTGATGTGCCAGTAACAAACTGTAGTAACCTCAATCGTTGTTCGTTAGTAAATCGGCTTATACTACTCCAAAACCATTCTACTACTGGATGAGCATCGTGATAACCACTTCTATATTCTGTATGTGTTCTCCAATCGTTAAGATCAATTTCTGCTGCCCCAGCTATTACTAATTCCAACTCTCGTGCATCAAAGACTGATACTAATCGTGGATCTACAACCTCATAAAATCCACGAACTAAAGATTCTGTTTGTTCGGCAATACCACGTTCAAGTCTCCAACGTACAACTCTTTCCAGATATTCTTTCTTATTTTTTTCAGTAACAGCAATATTTCTACCTCCTGGTTTTAATTCACGTTCAGCTACTCGACCCAAAAGTTCTTCCGTGACTGAAAAAGTTAGTTCCAGTGGTTCGATACTTATATCTCTCTCTTTGATCCACATTAAACTCTGATGAAATTCTTGATCTAAACTCTCTAAATCACTTAGACTTGCTGGTATTCTCAAAAGAGCCTTATAAAATGGTCTCGTAAAGAAGGCATCAAGCAGATATTGGTGAACTAATGCTAAACCCAAGACTCTGCCCGAAAATCTGAACCAATCATGATAATTATCTACGAAAGCTGACATTGGCGACACTTGCACAGTGTAAGTATCATTTGCAGAATATTCGAATAATCCATAATAAGGATTGAAAAGTTCGCGTGATAGATGAAAGAAAAATTCACGAGATGGACCACCATAATCTACACCTTCTTCCTCGTCAAACATAATTACTAATTTGCTTTTCTGTAAATCTTTCTTTGAAGCAGCCATAATGCGAGTAAAAGCATCTTCCAAAAAATGTTCTCTCCTAATATGTAATCTATAATAATAAAGAAAAAAAGAACGTAAAATTTAAATAAATATAATTTTACATTTTTTATATTAGAATAAACTTACTTTAATTTTCCTGGACCTTGCCCATATCCTTTACTTTCTAGCTTCCTATAAAATGTCCTAAGTTTAGCTTCAAAATCTCTTCTGTATGGAGCTGGAGCTCTAGCAGATGCTCTTGTTAAGCCAGGTGAAGCATGCGGACTACCTAGTGGAGATCTACCCACGTTACCAGGTACATATGACATAATTTCTTGTTCAAATAAGCTATAATAATAAATTCAATATTTTAATATTTTTTCATCCTTTATTACATTTAGAGATAAGAATATTTTGTACCTTAATAATAGCGCTAGAGGTACATCATGTCCCAGTCGTTGCAAAGCAGACGTGCCCTCAATTCGTATCGTATTTACCTTCTCTCGAAGCGCAATATTTTGTCCTAATGCAGAATGTCTTTCTTTTAAGATATCCATTATATTTGGTTGACGCAAGAAAGCAACAACTTTATCATTATAAGCTACAGGTATGTCAGGTGTAGTTGTAATAGCTGACTGTTGTGGTCTGGGTGGTGGTACAGGTGCCTCATCCAATAATGTTCGTGTGTGAGCTGGTTCAGTAGGTAATCTTGGGTCAATAAAAGAAGTTGCTTTTCTAGCATGACAAATAAAAAATCTCTGGAAACATTGATATATTTAAATAATGTTTTTGTTTCAAAAAGAATATTCCCCATAATATAAGCAATAATTAAAATCTGAAAATATTTACTTTGCCCGATCTATCAAGTTTTGATTCATAGCCTCTTGGAAGTTCTTTAGTTGGATCAGCAAAAAAATTGATTAATGCAACCAAATCTCTGTTATGTTCATATCTAGGAAAAACTGCTGTATCTCTTCTGACTTTGCTAATCATGTGCTTTAAACTGGAATTACGATTATACAATTCTACTGCTTCCGCATGACTATGTAATACTGTAAAAAGATCGGGTCTTGTTAAAAATAATACTGGAGGACTCGTACTAATGTCAAATGGTTCAGTTTCATTTCTTTCGCTTCGTTCATTCGGTCGTTCAGCATTTTCGATTTGCATATTTCCATTTGCATGTTGTGAACTAGACGGCTCGCGATCGATATTGTCGGGTCGAGAAATAGTTCGACGAACACTTTGATAACGTCTATCTAATTGCTGCCTTCGAAGATCACAGCCAGTGTTCCGTGTTGTTAAATTGGGCCTCTGCCAAGTTGTTGTTCGATTAATATGATCTATATAGAACACCCGACCATGACTGTCGATTCTTGCTTCCCATGCTGCAATATAATACATAATAAATTTCTCTACTTTAATACATTACAATAGATTACTAATATATTTATCTTACATGGTGGTAAAGGTTCTTCAGAAGGTATGAGAACATTAGATGTTTGGTACATTGGTAGTGGACGCAATGGTTTTGGTCGATGTGTGGGGGTTGGTGGACACTCTAATTGATTTGTTATATTGGACACTGGTCTTTCCAATGGTCTAGGTGGTCTTGGTGAACTTAATAGAGCTATACTTTTTGTAACAGCTCTCCGTGGCTAAAATATTAAATTAAATTCTTAGACAAACAATAATTTAATATAATGTAGAAAGAATGATCATAATAATGTAAATAAGAAAAATTACATAGATATAAAAGGTTGTAAACATAATAGTAGGTTATAATACAATAATAGGTTGTATGGAACATCAAAAAATACTAGATATAAATTTTGAAATTATATGATATTAATAGGAGTTTAATAGTTTAATATAACGTAAAAGGATTAATCATAATAATGTAATGGAAGAAAATTCCACATATATAAAAGGTTGTAAACATAATAGTAGGTTATAATATAATAGTAGGTTATATAGAACATCAAAAAATACTAGATATAAATTTTGAAATTATGTTATGTGCTTACCAATTGATTGCAGTGCATATATTTCATTAAATTACCTTTGAATTAGAAGCTTCATCAACATCTACAATTTCAAATCCAAAACAATCTTCAGGGTTCAAGGGTGCAGAATATTTTTGAGGATGTCTTTTAGGTAATTCTGGTGGACCAGTTGGTAAAGCATTACTTCTATGTAAAAGTTTATGCGTTACCCGTGGTGGTAGTGGTGGAGGATTTGGATACAATGTATCATATAAACCTTCAGGAAATAAAAAACCTCCTGTACTTCGCCACAATTGATAATATTCCACACCTTCTTTTGTTACAATACCATTTGTATCACATGGCCTCTGAAGTAAAATATATTTTATAAATTGTAGTTTCAAAACAACTATAATTCAAACATATCTGATGCCAAAATTTAATCTCAAAATTTGAAGGAGTGTAATATTAATCTGTTAAAAATTTGGCATAAAATTATCAAACGATTACGACTTTATCGATTTTCATAGTCTTAAAATATATTATTAAAGAGCGTTATAACGAAAAACTTTTTCCTTTAAAAAAAATTAGTAATCGAACCTAGTTTCCAAAATATTAGCAAAAAAAGATTGCTACTAAATACTGAATGTTCCCCATACGTGGGTATCCATAAGGCAAAACAGACTGCCTGCATGCTTACTACGTAGTGGATCAAATAACACAAACCATTGATATTTATCTATCAACAGATTATTTATTCCATCCATTCCTCGAAATAATGACGTAAAACCTACTAATAGCCGAAAAATTTGAAAAGATAGTCAATTAGATTAAGGTTGAGCTATTTCTTCCATCATCACTAAACGGAGGGCTGCAAGCGGCTCCGACTCGATGACGACAGAAAACATATCTTAACCCTATTATAATTAATTATTTCTTCAAATTTGTTAGCAGCTAAGTTTCTGGGCTATTGCTTTAAAGAATAGCTGGTATAAATAATCTGTCAATAAGCAAATATCACTAATTCGTGTAATTTGATCCACCAAGCATGCACGCTGTTTGTAGTCATTTCACGGATTCACACATATGGGCAAAATTCAGTACTAGTAGCAATCTTTTTTTTTGTTAATATTTCGGAAATTAGGGCCGATCATTTTTTTTTTTTACGTGAAAAAGTTTGTAATAACGCTTTTTACAACATATTTCAAAATCACAAAAATCGGTAAAGTAATAGCATTTCAATAAGTTTATCAAATTTTGAAATGAAAATTACATTACACATGCACATATAAAAGTGCAAAGGAAACATACATATTTGCATTTCTTAAATATTTAAACTCACTTGAGTCAATAAAAAAAATAAAACATTACATATATAAATAACATTAAACATTGAAAATATCAATGAAATGTTGGTTATTACGTAAAGATAAATATTTAAGAGAAAAATAATAAATTTATATCAAATTTTAACACAGTTAAAGCAACTGTGTTACCTTTTTGGTCCCATTATGACCTAGAACTGCTTGTTGTGATTCTGTATCCGAATTACTTGCATCACTACTGTTTGAAGAACGGGGTTCTATTTCAATGCCTTGGGCTTCTTCTAAATGATCCTTCTTAGTCGATGATGGTTCTAATAGTGCTACAGCATTTTCTTCCAGCTCAGTTTGATGAGCACCGGCAGTTTCAGATAAATTTTCTAAAATTGGCAGTTTAAATGGTTTCTTTGTTATATCATTACAATGTACTAAATCTGTCAAAGTGTTTTGTGATTTTGGCCCACTTTTAGACATGTGTGAACTACCAGCCTCATTTAATCTGCTATTTTCACTTGTATTCTTATTATTGTTTTCTGCTGAATTTAATAATTTATGGGCATTAGCAATATCATTGCTATGTGTTTCAGTTATTGAAGTGGTTAAAAACTGTGACTGTTCATCAGAACTGCATGAAGCTATGCCCTGTAAAGGTAAGCTACAAGCATCTTTCATAGAATCTTTATTATAAGTAGTAAGTACATTATCATCATTATTGTTGTGTCTGTCTCCTGTATTTTGTTCATATTGTGATTCTGTACTATTAGACTGTAAATCTTTGCTAAAAAATTGTTTCTTTCTAATCATGTTTCTGGAAGATAATGGTAGCTGTTCTAAAAAACTGGTTGCCTTGCCAGGATTGCTATCTACACTTGCTAGAAAACACTTTTTCCTTGTTAAGTTTTTATGAGACAGTGATATATGTTTTTGACTTGAGTTTTGTGTGATTTCATCATTCAATGTACTTGAAACAGCAGTATTATCAATTTCACAATTTGATGCTAATGCTGTTGCACCAGCATTCTTGGAAACTACATTCTCTTTATTACATCTTGATTCAGAACATACATTTGGTTCTTCAAAGGAATTTACAACTTGATTGTTACTTGTTTTATTAATTACTTCTTCATAAGAAGATGATTTCTGTTGCTGTAAACCATTTTCATTTGTTGCAGAATTTACATTTGATGGTAAAGAAGCATTCTCTTGTTCTATAAAATCATTTTTAACACCAGACATAAATACTATTTTATTATTACTGCTTATGGTATTGGTTTCCACATGATTTACCGTAGTTGAAGGTCCTTCATTTGTCGTGCCAACTGTTAATAATGTAACAGATTGTTCTTCAGGCTCATTTTCACTATTATCTTTCTCAGAAGTTATATTTTTAACATTAATCTCAGATGGCATTTTTTAAAACATAGTACCAATCAATTATATTTCTTTATATAGCTGTAAATGAGAATAAAATCAAAATGTAAATAGAATAAATAACAATAAAAGTTTAAGTAATTTTATTATATAATAAAGCTATTGCTGCAATAGTGAAAAAAATATGTCGATTGGAATTGAGACTATACTTAATACAATTTTTTGTAAAATATATTTTAGGTTTTATCGTCGTTTTTAAATACTTATATCATGATTTCACATACTAATATATGGCAATAAAGAAAAAATTTTGAGTTTAAAGTGTACATAATAAATATTCGAATGTATATTAATATATAGTACAACTGCAAAGCAATGTGTGCTATGTTTCCTTATGTAGAATTAATATCATTTAAAATCATGATGCAAAATGAATTAAATGATTTGTCATAATTTTCGTTAATCGCTCACAACAGAACAATAAACAAGTTACAATTGATTCTTATGATACGGTAGGTTTAAAAGAGATAATTGATAATACCTTAATTTTTATACGCACAAAATGTAAATATCTTAAATGAAAAACTCCGGTGAAGACATTTTACGTCACATTTACATATTCATTTACGCTTCTTGCTCATTACATGGATTCATCGAAGAACGCGTTACTTTGACAGAAAGATATAGCAGACTGTATCTGGTAACTTTTCATAGTGTTATATATACTGATTTTTCATGTATACCATTCATAAGTAGCAGGCGTATCTTATTGGTTACTTGCTACAATATATACTCTAATTGAAAACTGTTCTGTTATTTTTTAGACATATACTTATATTAAAATTATTTTTATTTCTTTATCATTTTTCAAAATAAATAGTAATATTTAATTTTTTATTGTACAAAGATTACATAATAGATTTATATATTCCTCTTCCATAAAATAAAAAAATATATCATAGATTTTGAAATTACAATTGTTGTATTAAGAAACATTTTAAAAGAATACAGGCAATTATTTATGCGATATAAATTTTAGATAACTAGCTAGCTTTAACAAACCTACAAATATTCAGCTTCTTTCTATGTATCACTAGATGGCGGTGTACTTAATTGTTTCGAGTTTTAATATGGTATATTATTAGTCCAAGTTCAACATAACCTTTCCCGTTTGGTGTGTAGTGAGGGACGGTACGTAATTATAGAGAAAATCCAAAATCTTAGTAAAAATCGTTTATGTAATATAAAATATATATATATTAAATTAATATAATTAAATAAAAACTGATTAAATATTTTATATTTTTTAAAAATAGTTTAATGTCACAGTTACATGACAAAAAAATATGTGACGAAATGTATATTGTTGTTATAAATTTGTTTTCATAAGAAAACATCAATTAATTAATTTTATTTTGGGTTTATAATTTTAGTCGTCTAAACTCCTACAAAAATGGCTATTCGACCAGTATATAGGCCTACAATTGTGAAGAAAAGGACGAAAAAGTTTATTCGTCATCAGAGTGATCGTTATAGTAAATTAAAGGTTTGTTATTTATTGCATTATTCATCATTTGTTAACTTTAACAGTTGCAGTAATTACTATATTAAAGTATGTAATATAATATTAGTAAAATAATATTTCAGAGAAATTGGCGTAAACCTAAAGGTATTGACAACAGAGTCCGTAGGCGTTTTAAAGGACAATATTTAATGCCCAATATTGGTTATGGAAGTAACAAGAAAACCCGCCACATGCTACCAACTGGGTTCAGAAAAGTTTTGGTACACAATGTTAAAGTAAGAAAATTAAACTTTTATCCATACTTACTAAAAAGTTAAAATAGAATTCATAAATCAACAGAAATGTTATTGATAAATTCTATATAATTGTATATTGTTATGTTCTAAAATAATTTGTACGTATGTATTATATTTCTTTTGTAAAGAGATACTCATACATATTTTTATAAGGAATATTTTATGGAATATATTTTGTGAATTCAAATAAAGTAGGAAAAGTGATCATTTGGAATAATTGTAATAACATTTATTTTATTGGATGGTTTACAGGAACTAGAAGTTTTAATGATGCAAAACAGAAAATTCTGTGCTGAAATTGCTCATGCTGTGAGCAGTAAAAAACGTAAATCTATAATTGAGCGTGCTCGGCAACTGTCAATAAGAGTGACTAATGCCAATGCAAGATTACGTTCTCAAGAAAATAAATAAGAACATATTCTTACTTGATTTAATAATAAAATATTTAAAGTATATTCTGTTTCTATTTTTAACATTTTTCCTAATTTTTATCTTCTTAATATTATTAAATAAGACTAACACGAACAACATCTTAACATATATGCTAGTACAGAAATGTAAAAACATTCAGATGAAATTATGTGATTCAAAATGTTATAGAAATATTTAATAGCATTTTATAAAATACATAAGTATCATGTGCCAATGAATTCCAATGAACCCTCAAATGCCCTTGCAATGTTTTTTTTTTTATTGTTGAAATTTATTTTCGTTTTCTTTTTCCTGGACTTCATTTGCCTTAAAAAAATACGTTCTCTTATTAAAGTTATTTTTTACTAAATGTAAAAATTTTTAGTTTTATTATAAAAAATATTACTGGATGAAGAAACAAAGTTGATAACCGATTATTTACCGATTTGAAATAGACACTTCGTTCACAAAAGTAATTCGAATTGGAGGGCTATCATGAGAAACATTTACAGTAATTAACTAATCATTTGATACTTGATGAAATAGATAAATAGTTTAGGGTAGAACTTATGCTTATAAAGATTGAAAATAACAAACATTAAGATTTGTTTAAATTCTTTTAAACAATGGTTAGAAATAAGTAAAAATATTATAATAATTTTTTTTTAATAATACATCATAAAAATGATTTATTAAAAATGTATCTATGCTATAATACATTTAATATAAATATTACATTAATCACAATGCATTTTTAAATATAAAATGCGACGATGCTTGAATTTCGTTGAACATCAATGAAAAGGTAAATCGAAAAGTATTTGTCTTATACTTCATATTTGCGTAAAATCTATAACAATAATAATATAATTAAGGAAAACGTTGTTTAACAACTTTTCATACAATGAAAAAGACTACCAATTATACCATCAATGTAAAATAATATGGTAATCCACATAAGTTGCATTATTTAATTTGATATATAATAAATAATATGCATTATTTAATTTGCTTTATATATCCTCTATCCTTTAGGAGATCGTCCAGCGCCTCCTGAGTATAATATACAACAAAGTCAGTTGATGCAACACCTTCAAACACGGCATAAACTGAAGGTTTTAAATTATAGAAAAAGAGTGGTTGCCCTCTTGATGCAAAATCCTTTGTTAAAGTTTCAATTACTGTAGCTGCAGTAAAATCTGCTCCATAAATGTGAGAACAATCGATTACAACTGGCGTTGCTACGTTTAGAGTCCTTTGACTATATTTTGTTACCAAATTTCGTACATAATCAACAGATGGAAAAATTAAACATCGATCAGGCGTTAACATAAGATATCGAATGCCATGACGAGTCTGAAACATAAAATTTGATTTAAATATTTATAAATCTACGAATGATGCAAAAATAGAATGCAATTATATTTTTAAATAAACATTTTTAAATGTACATAAGGTAGTATAATTAATAGATTAAAAAATTGAAAATACGTACAGTAAGTTTTTCCACGGATATCTTTGGCCGTGCAGCATGATATAAAATGAATAAAATATTTATTCCAATACCGCATAAAATTCCAATTTCTAATTGTAATAATAAACACGCAACAAATGTTCCTAATCCAGGAATTAAATCTGACTCTGTAAAGATGTAATATTAAAAAAGATATTAATATTTCGGAAATAATTAAAAATTTTTTTTAATTTATATTTTAAATTGTAAATTTACTTTTAGTTCTCCACATTGGTTTTACGACCTTAACTTCAACCATAAATATTACTGCAGCTATGATAATAGCTGCTAATGTAGTTTTGGGGATATAGCTGAAGTAAGGGGTGAGAAAGAAAAGAGCTATTATTACTAAAGTACCTGGAACAAATGGTGATTATGTCAAACCTATACGTATAAGAAACGCATATAACTTCTTAATTGATAATTATATAAACTTTGTAATTAGATAATCAAGTAGAGTAATTATTTATTAGATTACCAGTATAAATGCCTCCCATTGGTGTTCTTACTCCAGAAGCATTGTTTACTGCACTTCTACTAAGAGATCCTGTACCAGGAAATGCCTGAACAAAAGAATTACCAATGTTTGATATTCCAATTGCTATTAATTCTTGTGTTGCATCAACTGATTTTCCAGTTGCTGAAATAAATACGAAAACCTTTCCTTTTGTTGCATGTAACAAAAACAATACTAATATTATGTAAAATATATGTGTAATGAAAAAAATGATGTATTTGCTTACAAAAGGCTTTGCAAATAGCAATATCTTCCATTAATGAAATAAGCGGTAAAACAAGGATACCGCTTCCCAGATTTGAAACCATATCGATAAATGTTACTGTTGTATGTTCATCTTTGGTATAACTAAATGATGGTAATTGTACATTTGGCATACCTTGTTGTATATGTCCTATAAGAAAGATATTATGTTATCTAATTTTGTTAAGATTTACTAATTATATAATAAGCAATATATTTATATAACTTGATTAAAAAAAAAAAGTCTTAATATCTTTTCTTAATTTCAAATTAAGTGAAATTATTAATCCTAATTTATTGCTCTTACCAACCAATTTGAAGGGAGATTCTTCTCTAAAACAGTATCCCAAGAAACCAGATAATATTACTAAAAGTGCATTTCGCGATGTACCGAACAACCATATGAGTTTGTTTAATACGAGATATTTTGTATTTTGCGCTTCTTTGTCTTTAGGACCAACACTGTAAGATGCTATAAGCTACAAGAAAGAAGCATAAAAAATATCTATTAAGAAATTTGCAAGTTTAATTAATAATTATTCTTTCAATATAGTCATGTATATGTACCCTGAGAAATAAAAGGAGCGCTATACAGGATACTCCAAGCGCCGCATCCCAGGCTGAAGTTTCATGTACATGTTTAATAAGGCTTTTCCACATTTCAAGAAACTGTGAACCTTTTGCGGGGATGCCTAATATATCTTTTACTTGCGACGTTATGATTATCAAAGCTACCGCTGACGTGAATCCAGAGCTGACCGGCCCAGATACAAAATCAATTAAAAATCCTAAAATACATGTAATTGAAAGTAACTTGTACTTATAACAAATGCATTTGTTCATTTATAAATTTACTTTAACAGAAATATTTTTACTATGAATTGTAAATAGACAGCAAATATCGTTGATATTTACCGAGACCAAATATACCCATTATCAGTTCTATCACTCCAGCTAAGAAGCAGAGAAGTATCGCGTGTTGTAATGGTGCATCAAGGTGTGCAATTGTTTGATACGTGAGCAAGGAAGTGATGGCACTAGGTCCCATTGGTGTGTCTTTGCAAGAGCCGAATATAACATAAATAAAGCATCCTAAGAAGCTACCATACAGTCCATGCTGTAAAATATAATTGCATTTGTTAAAAGTTTTCAGTTTCATCTTTACCTTATTTAAATATATCAATCAAATGATTGTTTGACCATACTAACTTGAGGTGGTAAACCCGCTACGTTAGCATACGCTAAAGATTGTGGAATGACAGTTAGGCCTACGGTGATACCCGCGACAAGATCGCCTAGAGCGTCTTGCCCACTATACCTCGGCAACCAATTTAAAATTGGTACCCTTTTGTAAATGGTTTTCTTTGTACAAGCCGATCTACAACGTCGTCTTAATTGATATAACATGGAATGTGTAAAATTGTCTTTGTGTTCTATTCCATAGTCTTCGGATTCTTCTACCACTATAAAAGAAAGTAAAATTATATTTTGCAACAAAATTAACAAGAAATAAAACTATCCTTTGTTTAGTTATTCGATAATTCGGTATTGAAAATAAACAAATTAATCAATCGTTTATTTGTGATCAAGTAAACAAAATAATGAATCATATCACTCGTAGATTTGCAGTTGTTCAAGATCATGCTGTGAAAGTAATCGATATATCAACGTGAAAACGGTATCATATAATTTCTTATTTCTTATTATATATTCAGTTTAAGATAAATTTTACATTTCTTTTTTACTTTATTTTACAAGTTATATATTTATTATAAAATTCGTATATTCGTATATTATTATCTATGTTTGTATTAGTTGTGTATATTATTATCAATAATTCACGTAGAATTGATGGAAGGAAACTTATTTTGCAATGTAAATTAATTAATCGTTTCAATAATACATGTGCTTACAAATAAAGTCCGAGGAACCTTGCATCTCTTGGCGACTTCCATACGAATTATGCTGAATTTGAGAATTGTTCGAATGACCGAGATTCAAACTGTCCCCGGACCCACTCAAACCTTGATTTACGTACACTCCTGTTTTATTTTCTTCATCTGCATCTCCCATACCGTTTGTACTATTCATCCTAGAAATTTAACATTTCGTGTAAATTAGTACAATTATATTAAACACTGCTTTATACAGTAATATCTTCGATATTCAGATTAATGAAGAAGGATGATGAATTGGATAAGAGAATTTTCTCAATCGAATAGAGGAATCCTCGTCCTTCCTTACAATAATTATTTTATTATTTAAAAAGAATCAATTAAAATCACGTAAAGATAATTTGTAATATAGGAGAAATTTATTGTTTAAAATTAACCTCTTCGTATATTAAGTTGCATCGAATTATATTCTCTTTGTATTTCAAAGAATTAAAATATCCTTATTTTAATACCATAAATGCTTTGAGATACATTTACGATTATTATTTCGATAATATATTTACGAAATATATTTAAACATATCGAAATACTTTTGCGATAATCTTATTTGTATTGTTATTTGCATTGTTATTTGCGTATAGTGTCAATTTTACACTAAAGTAATATGCTTTTTGAGTAATAAAATATTTAAATTTGTAAACGTACTGATAACAGGAGTTCTATTATATATAATTGCTATAAATCGTATAAATAAATAAATAGTTCATTTCCGACTGATAAAGTGGAATTCCAATTTAACTAAACATGATGCGAATCAGCACGATGCTAAACGGAGACAATGTATCATCTAGTAACATTCGTTAAATTAACCACGAAATCAAGCGATTGGACTAAATTCGTTACAAGTCCTGTATGCGTGATTTTCTACACGACTCGCTTATGTTCTATGGGTTTCTATTGAACTATATTTAGTTCAACGAATGTAAACAATGAGACGAATCAACATTGACATCATTGGTGGCGAAAACAAATTACATTCTATTGCAACAAGCAAGAGGTGATAGATCGACTCCACTCTAACAACAATGATGGGTTTGATCTAACGATAAGTATGATAAGTCACCTTTAATGAAAAGAAACACTCGTATCTAAGAACCTTCTTTCCTGCATTTCTTTAATTAGTTACATTACGAAACCTGAGTCATATGAATGCGTTGCTAAGTTAACGATAAATTATGTTTGTCGGATAGATTATGATTTATGATATTACAGATAGTCCGTTTGTAGAGGTTTTTTGTTCGACATGATAACATTCGGCTGATAGAAATGTTTCATTGATCAATTATATAATATATAGTAGCACTCTATCGTTCAGCAAATATGTACGTAATGTATACATAAGTTGCTAACAGATATATTTACAGTTCATAAATATATTTACAAATTATATACTATTTTTTTCTTTATTTACCTTTATTTTAGGAACGAGGCGATGTAATATATAACTCTGACGCAATCAACAATCGTGAATTAGAAGGAAATATTAGACAGTGCATTTAAGACTATTTGCAAGATGGTACTTTTCAATTCACGATCTCTTCGACGAAACGTGTTTGAATGCTTGGCTACATGCCATCTCGAGGCAGGGGTGAATCGGAGATTTCTAATTCTTGGGTTCTCAGATCTGACATTAAGTTGTCTATCTAATTAATACCTAATCGTTGTCCTATGTCGATGCCTGTCACAACCACAGAACACGCAAACTGCCTTCCTCCCTAGATCACATTGAATATGTTCGTTCCTTGCATCCTCGCGAAGTATTTAACAATCCGAAATGAATATCTCCTATCTGTTCTGTTCTTTATTCAAGGATTTAAGCACGAGACTCGATAATACAATACATATTTATACCGTTTCTACGTATCCCTTCTTTTTGTTTAAAGAAAGACGAGTCAACAAGTTGCAAGAAAAATCGAGTCGACAGTCGACGAAAGTCGTAAACGGCGAATGAATTTTGCAATCAGGGCTCGTTAATCCGCCTACGGGATCCTGGGATCTCTGGTTATATCGCAGATATCGCGCCTTCGTTTCCAATCTATCAGGTAGAGCGCGCACGCGGCGCAGGGAAGGGAAACGAAAGGAAGAAGAAGGAAAATAAAAAAAAAGAGAAAAAAGAGACGCATTGCTGCGAGAACGCGTGTCACATGATTCGCTCATGCAACCGGTCATTCCGTGCTATCACGTGCTTCTGAATCAACTCTGTCACGCGGTTGTCTCGATCACCGGCACCCAACGACGCGGTATGTAGTTCGAACCGCGTGCTCGCAAATTAATTCATCCGAACCTTGTTTTTCATGCAAATCACAAAGCACGAGCGCGTACAGATCGCGTTGCCACCCATCGTCTCATTTAAATCTTTGCCAGTAAATTATATGCCATATGTTAATAAGTCGGCCTCAACTGGAACTGTTACCGTTGCCTTGAAAGTACGAAACATACGTATGCACTTGCTTGGCCGGCGATTATGGAAAACTATGCGATACAAGCTATCAGACTGGCTTCAACCTCGGGGACTGGAGTACGCAGATGCAGCTGGTTTCTTCTTCGTAATTTGATTTTGACAATTAAGGGAGACGCGTATAGGCGCGCGACACATTTTAATCGGGTCAGAGATGGAAGGTGAGTGGAGGGTTAAAGGTCATTAGGAATGATCTAAAAATGTATCGATAGGCTTATGAGACTTTAATGGAACAATGACATTTTTGATAGGATATTTATTACTTTTGACTTTCTTCGAGGAGAAAAAATGAATAAAATAATATTCATTTATAATGGAAAAAAAGAAGGATGCCAATGAGAAAACAAGTTGATGATGCATCTTCATATCCCGTTCATGGTGGTTTACATTGAAGTATAGAAAAAGGAAATATTTATTATTCGATTAAAATATATCGAAGTAGTTGTTGCAGCGCATACACCGATACGTATTAATTTTATCCGTAGTCAAGAAGTATACATCAAATCATGAAATTAGATCATGAAACAATTAGATATAATATGCTATATTGAAGATGTTCTTTCATCTATAGTATAGAAATAGCTGCTAAAATTCACAGGCCCTTTTAATTCAAATATATTTAATACATTCCCCATAATAATATGGATATAAAATCTAAATTCTAATTACTATACTCATTATATATTTCTTTTATTCTTTATTTTATCTTTCGTTTTATTCAATTGCAATTGAACATATCTAACCAAACATATACATATGTAAATGTCAGGAGATAAATCTTCCAAGACTTAACCTAAGATCTAGATATTTTTAGGTCTCTTCAAGATTTGACTGTAAAATCTGTTTTAGAGTAAGATCTAGATCTGGAGTTAAACAAGACACTGGAACCTTCTTAGATCTACGTGTATCTACTTCGAAAAATTTCCCCTTGTTCTTTATTACTATAATTTCGCATACAATTTTCTCCGCACGCGTACCGTTAACCCTCGCTATACCGTAACTAAATTCACGCGTATATAACTTCAGGACGTAAATTGAATCGCGACATCACAGTGTTTTACACGGGATACCATTTAGCAATATGAAAAGGAACCGTACGTCTTAATTAGAAACGTCAAGGTAAATACCATCGACTATGATCAATGTGCGTATAACAATAATAACGAGTATGATCGACGGTTGTTCTTTCTTCTGTAAATAAGCTGCAATTTCAACGTGTCGCCGTCCCGTCCTTTGACTGATACAAAGATCCAGTCAGCCTGTACAATAGAAGTTAATATGAGCTATTCCGTGGCACGTGCGCCTCGACATCTTACTTAAACGCTTAGTTGCAGGCGATTAAAAGGAGCTCTAAATACTGGCAATAAAGATAGAAGCGAGAAATTGGGAAAATGCTTGCACTCTGCGTGTGATCTCGTATTTCACCGAATTTAAATATCATACTCTATTCAATTCTTTTTTATTAATTCTTGTTTCGCTATTTGTAGTTTTATGAGAAATGTCTGAAGAAAGAAGATGACACAATATCTAAGAAAAAGAAGAAGAATTATGATCCTAATATCAGGAAGAAAAGAAAAGTAGCGTACTTTGATCTAGTTGCGTGTTGCCTTAAGAGAATAAAAAAGTTAACGACATAAATTCATTTAATATTAAATGATATTAATTGCTTCCACATGACAGTGTTCATATAACTTAATTTGAAATTTAAGACGCAATAGACGTAGCGGGACTATACCATTGTTATGACGAATTTCGGTCGACATTCGTACATCTTAATTTTTAGTGTGATCTGTGGATTGGAACAGCGACGATCGAATTCATTATTAGAAATACGCGACTTTCTGGTATGAATATTATTATATATAATACGTAGTTCGATTATTGAAATTGATTAAAACATTCTAAACATTCTTTTCTCATACTTAAATTTTCTTTTGAATTTTCAGGTAATTATCTTTTACTATTTTATTCGAAAATAAAACTCGATAATCAAATCGATGTCGCAGAGAAATCAATTTTAACGCGTGTTTAAAAGATAAAAATAGAAAATAATAAAATTAAAGCGATAATAAAAAGAACTTTGTTTATATACGGTAAGTTCTCACGTGTAAATTGGTACGTAACAATTTGGTCAAAGTTTTTGAGGGACCTGCTGTTTGGCAGGTAAACACATGTTGGCGAGGTTTCGACATTATTTACATAGCTTGAAGAAGAGCGATACAAATTAAACTCGTTGGTACAAGAGCAAGATCTAATAAAGATAATTAATTGAACCGATCGCGATATGGTAACGTTCAATATTTACGTTTTTTCACGTAATCAACATACTTCGTTGATGATTACAAAATTCTGGAATCAAAGAATTGTTTTTCTATCTAATCTATCTTTGTCTAATCTTCTACTTTCGTGACTACTCCTATTTTACCGTTGTATTTATTTTGATATTAGTAACTCGTTAAAATATCTTTCGTTTAATATCAATTGACGCAGGTAAAGTGGAAATTAATTTAAGTAAAATTATTTTTAAATGAATTTTTCAGAGCACGTTTTGCCACCCAATTTCATCGTTTGAATTTAACATCAATCGTTTTATTTTATTACGAGTTCAATCGATACCGTAATTTATTAGCAATATATCGTTAGTAATTTGAAATTTTGCTCCATCGCTCTTTAACAAAAAGCTCTTATTTCCATATGGCATTTAAATGAAAAAAAATGCTTGAAAAGGTGTTACATCTCCGAATTACTTAATACTCAAGCTGCACATCAGGTAATTGAAACTCTCCGTCATTGGAACACATGTCTAGTATGCTACAGTAAGCACAACTGATGGAAACCGGTTTTTTCGTTGTACCACGTAGATTTATATCTATACATAAAAAAGAATTTCGGTGGGTCTAACAGATCGACACGATCTATCCATATTTTATCTAAACACCTTCACAAATACATCCAAAACGAAACTTGAACAAAATTCCAAGACGAAGCATTAGAGCGTTAATAAATTTTGTTATATCATATTCCGGTAAAATGATTTTAAAATTATTTATTGTTTTTATTATGCATTAGAATAAAAAAGGTCAGAAGAAACGTGACAAAAAAGTTGCAAGAAACTACGAGAATACTAACTGAACTCACTTAGAGATCTACGTAGCAAACGATGAGATCGGTTGTTGCTGAGTCTTCAAACGCGCTTCAAAGGATCGAAAGTGAACTTCGTGGCTTCTCGGTGAACAGCGAAACGATCTATGGTCGAAATTTATTTGTTCTTGCATCCGCGACACATTCCAGCCGCGAGCAGGCGAAAAATAATGAAATGAGGAATCACCAACGTGAGTACGAATGATCATATGTAAGAATCGTTATAATCGCATGCAAAAGCGCGCGTTCACTTCGATTAGCGTTTTTCCTCCAGATCTTCCCGACCGGGTCCAGTGACACTTGAGGATCGAGAGAATGACTGACACCGTGAGCTTGGATGAGAAAAAGGTAAAAAACGAGTATGAGAAATAATCACGAAACGGTAATCCGATTTGGAGAGGTCGACGACAAAACTGAATTCACAGCAATACGCGACCGGCCATTTAAATGCGTCGTGCTTCTTCGACAGTTTGTGCCGTGACTTCTTCTCCCCTTCTCCACTAGCCGTCTTTAAGGCAATAACGTCACTGGAGAACAATCCAATCGGAGGCATAAAGGCTCTGCTTCGGGGCCTGTTCGCTTTTCTGCCTATTTCTCGACAGCTTCAAAAGTCTTTCTAACGATTGTCACACTTCGTTCCTCGTAATTACAACGAAACGATACTTATCGTCAAGCCAAACAGAGCAGATATTGTTCGTGCGAGGAGGATCACATTTGTATTTCGACTGATTCGATGAAAGGTGACTTGATTCACGGAACATGATGGAGAGGGAAATAAACAAAGATGTGACATCGAATTCGTGTACCGAGGAAAATTAGTAATATAGTGATATTCATGATATGGTAAGTCGTTTCTTATTTGCCTAAGAAAACGATTAAGATTGTTCTTTACGTTCATTTGAGGTACGAGAATCTTTTTAATCTGGATGTATTTCGAAACTAAACAACTCGATTTATCTCCCCCGAGGTGTAATCTCTTAGAGATCTGGTGGATAATACGTGTTTTATCTTCTGTTAATCCGATCAAGAGAAGATCGTGGCTGCGGTAGCAGATGGTAGGGGTAACCTTTATGGAATAGAGGATAATTTTTTGGACATTATTTATGACCGTATTAACAGTTTCTAAACAATCATTTATCGAAGAAGGATATTGGACGAATGTACACGTACATTATCGGGAAAAAATATTTTGAAAATTCTAGTCCGATAAGACAACATTTTATTTTCCTTTATTTTCATTAAACAATGTTCTTGAATGATCTTAAATACTTATATGATTTTTCAGGAGTGTGAAGGGAATAAGACAGATAAGTAATATATAGGCTTCCCGCAATGATTTACTCGTTTAAAAAAATATGCTCATTGTGTTGATTCGAGGCTTACCAATTCTGAAAAATCATCCCATGTGACTCGCGTCATGGTTTTCACCATTCCTGAGATTACGATACAGATATTCATTGATAATTTCGTTTTTCTTGAGAAATTGCAAAGATATAACATAAATTTCTCGTGAAAAATTGTTCGCAACTAAAGATTGATATGTAGAACATATTCGTGTGAGTTGAAGATTAGAATGTTAGAAAGTAAATGCTAATATTATATGTATAATGTATGATAAACATCTCGAAATGATATATTAGATATATATTTTTTAAATAAAAATATTAAAATTCATTGTATAAATATGTTTTAGAAAAAAAATATCTCTAAATAAAAACAGTAAACAATATAGCATAAATATAATTTTTCCATAACCATATTAAAAAGTATGTTTTTAATACTATCTTTTAAATATTTATTAATGGTTCCTAAAATGTTTTCCATGATTAAGGAAATACCAAAACATACACGTGATGAAAGCATTATGTAATAACTCTTACTCTCGAGGACGTGAATATGCATTATTATCATTATTTTATAACACTGATAAGTTCTCCTAAGTTAGCGTCTGGATTGGATGTCTGAACAGCAAGGTTACGTGTCCTACAAATCTACAATCCTATTTACATATTTACATAAAATTTGAAAAAAGATGCAAAGAGCCAGAAGCTGGTGTAAGTTATGTGAGTATTTCCACAGAATACCATAGTAGGGATTAAGAGGAAATTAATGCTGTGTTCAAAGGTTTTGAGGCAATAGATAAAAAGATAAAACTTGCAATCGACGGGACTGAATGAATGAATGAAACGAAAATAAATTACTTCTTGGGGTTTTTATGTGAATAAAATTTTGTTTTTAATATTAATGAATAGAAATATTAAATTTCGATTAGTATTTCTAAAATGTTCTAAACACGAAGACATACGTAAAGAAAGAAAATGTAAAAGAATCATGACATTTTAAACAGTGACAATCGTAAAAGAATTTAAGAGGTAGGTATGTAAAATAAATAGAAAATAGAAAATGTATCAACACATTATGATCATATTAGTACTTCCGTGTAATGCTGTTTGTATTCATGATACAATTTCCGCCACGATACAACGTACGTGTAACACGTTAAAATAGTTCACCGAGGAATACTAAACTCGTGAGTAGTCTGTTGAGCAACATACTAAGATTTATGCGACAATAAATCGTCAAAAAATAGTCAAAAAATAGTTTCATTGAATTTAAAAATAGACATTCCAACTTAAATTTAAAATAAATATCTGATTCTATTGTCGGTCAAAGACACTTCCTGTCTTTTCATGCTAAATACTCAATTGCATATAACACTCTCAAAATCGGTAAAGCACAGGATCTTGTTTAATAAGTGGTTTTATTATGAATTGAGCTTTATAACGATATTTAGTATGATATTTGACTTAAAATTGAGATTCTGATAATACCTTTGGCTTAAATATTAAAAGCTTAATTTAAATAATGTATAATGATGTATATATTATAAATTTGATAAATATTAGAAAAATTTTTAATGAAGATTCGTCTCAACTATTTTTCCTATGAAAATAAAAAATACTAACATATTTAAAATATTTAAGTTAAATAAAAGGAACAGATTAAAAAATTAATTCATGACTTCGGGAATATTAAGTATTATGTTAAAACTGATAAAAAGAAAAGAGATAATAACGGGATAGGATATGATCAGTTGTTTTTTTTTTATATAATTTATGTTTTTGTTGTCTTTTAAATAGATACATGAAAATATTGTTAATAATTTACTTACTATCTGTAATTAAATTTTACGTCTTGATACAAAATTCCTCGATACAGATAAAGAAAATTTCCAAAATAATAGAATACGATAGATGATGAGAGGGAAATTTGTTCCTGACGATTTAGATTGGCAATCGTGCGTGTCAGGGTGGGGATGCGGCTTGGGCCTCTCGCTTGAGTAGTGCTCGGTTGGCGCGCTTTTCTATTTTCTTGTTTGTACAAACCGTGAAGTGCGAGTGTGTGATAGACTGCGTGCAATACATCGACCAAACACTAACCTAAATTATACATTATTATTATTATTATTGTATCATAAGATAGAATATACGTTTAACTATTTAAACCCTATTTTATTTAACAGGTTATGGGCCCAGGCATGAAAACCTGAACACGTGGTTTGTAGGTTAGATTACGCGACGAAACACATGATGAAACTACGCAAAGTGAACACGCGGTGCGAGCTTTACTTTCTGGATCTTAAAATCAATCGTAATAATTATGGAGTTAGCTAAAGTAAAAATTGTAAAGCTTGTGAATGCGGAATACTGGCTGCAATGGAAGTTTTTGGTATGAACCGTACTGGATACGAAGTATGCTTTGGAGGTCATCAAAGGCACGTGGGTCAAACCAGAAGCAGAAGCCAAACTCGAGGCCAGTGAAGGAGTTGATCTGGCTACATGACCTAGTGATCGTGTTTTTCCCCGCAATGGAAGCTCACCTGCTAGTAAACAATCAAGCGATTATACGATTGACAAAGTAATCCCGCATGCTATAAGCATACAAAACACGTCGATGTGAGATACGATCACATACGAGAGCTCGTGTTAGAGAAGATAATGCTGAAATATGTAAACACGAACAATCAGTTGATTGATATGTTCACAAAACCGCTAAAATCCGTACAATGCGCAGAACAGTATAAAAGGATTGGCATGTATGAGGGAACGTAAACAGTGATTGATAAGCGCCGAATAGTTTGAAATGTAAGCGAGTTGAGTGTTGTTGCGTAAATTATACCCGCAGTATATAATCATGTTGTAAAGAACGAATTAGTCAGAATGTTGAGAGAGAAATTCTAGCGATTTAGGTTGGCAATCGTGCATGTCTTCAGGGTGGGGACGCGGTTTGGGCCTCTCGCGAGGATAGCGATCCTTTGGCGCGCTTTTCCTCTTTGCTTGTACGACTAAGGAGTGCGGATTTGTAATAAACCGCCTGCCATACATCGACCAAAGACTAACCTATGTTATACATTATTATTATTGTATCATAAGATAGAATATACGTTTAACTGTTTAAACCCGTGTGGCATTCCAAATACCTATTTTATTTAACAATAAATCTCATATAATCCAGTGAAAATGGCATTATTATTCTCAATACTTTTGATATACAATAATAATCATTATTAATTAATTAGGTACAGGAACACTTTATCATTCGTGGTATTAATTAAAGATAATCAATTACATACAATAAATTGTTATCAGCCACGGTGCATCGCCTCCAGCCTCGGCGTTATCGATTTTATTTGAATGTAGATACTACATTTCATCGTTTCGTTCCGTCAAAAGTTTAAAAATCAGTTGTTTAGGAAGCGAGCGCCTACGACTATTAAGAATCGAACCAGAATGCGAAGGCCATTCGAGAAGATTCAATCACACGTTTGATTTTTTATTTTTTTCTCCCATTTTTTTTTTTTTTTTTCGTTATAATTCATCTTCTAACAGAATCATCAAAGGCAGATAGAGAAAAAAGTAAGAATCGTAATATTATCGACGAAAACTCGATGTCGAAACGCAAACATTTAGAAAGTAACGATGCTGATAATATTCTTTAGCGTTATAACGATTACTAATGATTAAGCTTGTAAAGACTACGATGAAGTTTGGAAAAAAATATATACAAAACGCTCGATGTATCAAATTTATCCTCTCGATATTAGACCCGCTGGTCTCCAATTTAATAAGTATCTCTTAACCTTTTTTTTCCTTAGGCTTACTTCGACCTTACTGCACTAAAAAGGCACAATTTTTCGCACCTGATAAAACATCGTTACGGTCTAGATACTAATTAATCCATTTTCCACCAAAGTACTTGTTTCCCCGATGCCAATTGCGTGTTGCGCGTCTATTTTCCAGTATGTGTTTACGTTTATGCAGGAGCTTATTTTACAATGTCAAATGGGTGATAATGGTGGTACGACAAAACATGATCTGTATCCTTAATATTTTTTTCGCGATATCTTCGAATGCGCGATATATTACGTATATTAAACAGAGCGTGTGTATTTATAATGCACGTAATATATCCCCTTAAAAACTAATTTGTAATAATGTTCTTTCCTATGTAAATCTAGGGTCTATACAGACCTTACTAAGGCGAAACTACGCGGGCCTTTGTACAGTCGTTTGGAAAACTATGGGAAGTCTTTAAGAGGAAGAAATTATTCAATCAATATACAGCGTTTTCTGGTGTTACTGCAGCTTGTCCAAAACGATTGGAGATAACCAAATTGCAATCACGATAGTATTCCGTTTCTGTGAAATCTCTGTTACTTGAAATGAATTGTTGTCTTCGTGAAAATTTCATGCAGTCACATTCTTATTGCAATTTATCCAATTTCATTGGAAGTGGTCAAACTGCAATCACTTCTTTTGGGTGATTTCTTTTTGATTGTTTTCAGCAAAACCTTTGCTATAAAAGCAAACGCTTTTTATAAAAATCTTAACTGAAATTATATACAATCGGACGATACCATATGTATAGTTTCTGTTGTCCAATACGCAATGAAAAGAAAGAAACAAGTATACAAAGTATTGCCAAATATTGGAGAAATAATTTTGTCAAAATTAAAAATAAAGTATCGAAAGAAATATTATAATTAACCCTTTCGCTACGGCGGTTCGCTCAGCCAAAGCGCCGTCACTGAACGGGATCCCGCGCCAAAAATGTACACATTGCGCGTGGACAGGCTTCGGTCTTCGGGTTTACTTCTTACGCCTGAACAACGCCGTCTTGACATGTTAGGCGTCAATAATATAATTATATAAATGAATATACATATATATAACAATATAATAAATAACAATAATAATTTAATTAATAATTGGTAATTATGGTGGAATCCACTTTATCTATGGATTTTCAACATCAAAAAATTGACTTTAGTTCGTGTTTTTGGCGATCCGAACCACTGTGCGCCGCTGTCCGTTTCTGCGATTCACATCGTGGATGCCGGCTATAGCTGACGTCCATTTTTGTGACTCACATCGTGGATGCCGACTATAGCCAGCGTTCGTTTCTGCGCCTCAC